GCTCCCAATGTGCGCGCTGGACGTTTGTACGCGCGCGACGATTACGCGCGCGCCGCGAGTATATCGTCTCACCTGATGAAAGTGGAGTCCGCGGCGGGGCTGGAGGGTCTCGGTGAGGAGCTCGCGGTGGACGCCGTGTTCGTCTCCTCCACGTCCATCATCGTTCATACCGATGACGGCCAACCACCACCACCACCAAACACCAGCAGCAGCAGTAGCAGCAGCAGCAGCAGCAGCACCAACCGATACGCGATATCCCGCGAGGGGGGACGCGCGGCGGGCGGGGAGGGGCGGGTTGATAACGGACGACGGCGACGTAGTCCTCGCGCGCGAGGAGGCCGCGACGCCGACGAGACGACGGTCGCGAGGGCCGAGGGTCACCCCCGCGCGGGCGAGGGGGAGGGGGAGGGAGCGGCGGGACGGCGGGCAGAAACCGCAGAGTCGAGGGGATGAAGCCGAGCCGTGCGACGGGGGATGAGCCGGGGGCTGGTCTCACGCCCGTCGTCCGCGAGCGCGGGCTTACGGGTAACAACTGGCGAACGGCGCCGCCACCCCTACCGCCCCCTCGCGGGTCGCGACGCCTGGCGAACCTGCGCCGCCGTGCACCTGCCGCCGCCGTAGCCGCCGACGTCGTCGTCGTCGCCGCGCAGGCGTCGCGACGCCCGAGATCCGTCCTCCGGTCCTACGAGGTCGAACCGAGGAGCTGCGAATCCTCCTCGGAGAAACCCTGGGGGGGGGGGGGGCGGCCACTCTTTCTCTCCAAAGCAAACTTAAATTGAAATCCGAGCTCGCAAGACGCGTTCTCGATCTCTTCTCTCGGAAAAAAGCGCGTCTAGGCAAATGTAACAAAAGTGAAAACGGATCCTTCTTGGATTTAGATAAAACGACACGTCGACGCACGTAGGGTCCTTCTTGCTGCGAGACCGGTACGGGAATTCTGTAACTTGCAGTCGACGCTTTTCGGTATCGTTAACTAGCGACAGCCAATGGCGAGGACGATCCTCGAAAAAGACGTAGACTTTCATTGGTTGCAAGTTAACTAGGAACAACCAATGAAAATCTGCGTCTTTTTCCAAGATCGTCCTCGCCATTGGCTGCCGCCAGTTAACGATACCGAAAAGCATCGATTTCAATTACAGAATTTTCCTTTACTGCAGGCTTTCAACGTCCGAATTCAATCGCAAATCTGTATTTTCGCGACTGCATTACACGCTCCAAACAGATTTCACCCCAAGAGCAATAAATCCGCGGTGGAACCACGAGATTGACGCCTATCAGTTTAGCGGAAACTCCGCTATCTCAGATTAGCAGACCGTCTCGTAACAAGGGACTTTCCTCCACGTGTGTCGACACATCTCACGTATACGGAGGCGGCAAAACGATCTCCCGCGCGTGCACGCGTTGCCCTCGAACAGTCGAACGTCCTAGAATTAAGCTCCCTTCTTTTCTTTTCTATACAAATTTAATATTTCTCGCGTACATGACTTAAGTAGACATAATTATTGTATACACTTATCGTTACACGGACATTTCCTACATGCCTTATCTGTATCGTAGCTACTCTGTCCTATTTTCCTATCTTCCCCGTATGATGGTATCTTGCGAAAGTTTCTCCCACCAGCAACGGAAATACCAAGGTGGCGTCCGCGCACACCTGAGGCAGAAAGCGACGACGGCGCTCGATCAACCCGAGACCGACTTGTTTTAAGTTGATTTAAATTCAGCCACGGAGGTGGCGCGTTACCTTAACGGGATCGGCGTCTTTTCGAATCTTGCCCCAGGAGATCGCCTCCTCGGGCCGGGCGCCGCTGTCGCTGCCGTCGAAGTCCGAGGAGGTGTTAATGTAGACGGCATAGTCCGCGCCGTTCCTCTAAAAAATTTATCGCCATTACCGTCGCAAACACTTGTCGAGAATGAGGCTGCCACTGGATTCGTCGCGCGACCAATTTTTCCCCAAGCGTGTCGACTGGCCGCGGGACAGAAAGGTTCTCGAGTGTCTAGAACTTTTCTGGCTTCTGGCCAGTGAACGCGCTTAAAAAATTTGCCGCGCGACGAATGTAACAGTAGAGGAAGATCCTCTATCACGAGACAGGCTCTGCTAATATGAAATAGCAGAGTTGTAATCGTTGCAGGAAAAAGATTTGCGATTGAGTCTGGACGTTGAAGGCCTACTATCTCGTAATAGAGAATTTTCCCTCTACCCTTACGCGCCAAACGAAGTTGTTTCACCATGAGATTGGCATTGCAGATGTGATGCTTCACCACACCGCCTCCGACAATTATCATGCCGCTGTTGACCGCCTTCATGGCTATTCTGTTCAATCTCGTGACGTCTGCGCGAAAGATTTCAAGATTGATATGCGATCATGCGGGCGAGCGAAAGCGCCAGAACGTTAAGGAACCAACCCGCGATAATGTCGAGCACGAGTCCTGGATTCTTGAACGAATGGAAGAACATCATGTCCCCGAGGCTGCCGTCGGTCAGCGCCGGGCAAAACACCGGGATCTTATTTCTCGCGGCCCAATAGTAGATTGAATCTTCGTGATTGATCTCCTCGCCGAGTCTCGCTATCATCTTGGACGGTGTCCACGAAGTGCCCTGAAAAAAAGAAGAAAACAGCGATTCGATCGTAGCGTTGCGTGTGAATTCGTAGGGCAAGAACGCGCGTTCAATCGTCTGTTGCAACGACGGCTACTGTGTACCTTCGTCCTCTGTTCAGCCAGCATCGCGTCCAGCTTGGGCATCAGCCAATCTTCGAACAGACAGTAATTATCATTCGGTACCAGCAAATTTCCCGTTCTGTTGATTCCACTTTCCCGGAGCTTCCTGTCGTCCAGATAGAAGCTGCCGACGTACGTGGGTGCCATACACTTTATGAGATCCTCTTCCACACCGCCGGCCGTGGTTACGAGACAATCCACCTACAGAACGTACGTCTATAGTCGTCAAGCGCGACGAGATACTCGTTCGACGAGACCGTTGCATGCGCAAACGTACCAGTTTGTGCTGCACGAGAAATCTAATAACATCCCTGACGCCACTGGACACCATATTCGACGTATAACCCAGAAATATCGTACAATGGAATTTCCTTTTTACAAATTCATCCTCTTCCGACTCGTCCAGCTGGTCCTCCATGAGAAGTACGTTCCGTTGGTGAAGCATCCGATTTACTTCCTCGATCGCTCGTCCAAAATTCGTAGCTTGGAATCCGCAGCTCGCCATGGTCGCGAACAGTTCGTGATAGTCGATTCCCTTGTTGAAATCATACCCTGGACACACAATTGTTAGAGAGAAGTCCTCTATTGTGGCTCCTAATACGGGACAGCGGGGGTTTCTGCTAAATCAATAGGCAACATCGGTCGATCCCGCCACGAATTTATTGCCCTTGGAGCGAAATCCGTTTAGCGGAAGATTCACTGTTAGATTGCGTAATCGTTGCGAAAGATTCGCGATTTAATTTAAGTGCTGAAAACCTGCTGTCCCATAATCCAAGACGACTTTCCTCTGTTAGCGTTTACAGTAGCGACGTTCCCGCGACTACTGATACTTCGTGATTACATTGCGAGTCTATTTTATAATATCGTGACGTTCTTGCGGCCACAAGGGAACAGCCGCGAACGAGTATCAACGGAGAATACACTTGAAGTGGGATACCTTTTACCGGAGTCGTATAGGGCAAGGAACTGCTGGATATCAGGACAGCATTCCTCGCCAATTCCTGTTCCTGCAAGTCCTGTTTTCTCTCGCAATCATCCATGACGGCGAAACTTCGGGTAATCCTTAAAAGAGACAAATAACAAATTAATCGCAGCACAAGTCGTAGATTTACGAGGGGAGGCGTGGATCCCGTAGACAGGATCGGTCGCAGAGATTTACTTCTCACGCTCTTTACTAAGCGACGAAGGTGAACTAACGAGAGAGCGCCGTTCACATGTACTCATTGTAGGCCAGTACGGGAATTCTGTAACTTGCAATCGATTGCTTTTCGGTATCGTTAACTAGCGTCAGCCAATGGCGAGGACGATCTTTGAAAAAGACACAGATTTTCATTGATTGTTGACGTTATCGAAAAACCTCGATAGCAAGTTACAGAATTCCCGTACAGGCCTTGTAATTGTGGTCGTCTAAAGTGTCCCAAAAACTGTCTAGCCCAAAAAAAAAGATCCACGCGAATACTAAACGGATCATTTTACTGGCCAAGCGTTTCAAAAAGTATTCAAGACGATCCTTGGATATAAAAATTGACTGTAAACGGGCCTTGGTGCGCGCTAGTGCGAACTAACGAGAAAGTGCCGTTCCATACACACTTGTAGCGAATTCGATCGGGTCGAAATAATCACGAGAACATATCGGTCTACGTGTTCCAAGATAAATTTTTGCCAGAGGTCCAAGCCCACATAAGTTCGTCACGTTCGCACGACGATGTAAAAAATTAACGTGCGTCATGTCGTTAACGATGCTATTTAACTGTAAGATGATTAAAATGTTTCATAGATCGTCCGCCAAATCGCGGCACAATCGAGAGAGACCGACGATTTCCTTGTGGAGTCAATAAAAAAATTTAACAAGAAACATTAAAAGCGTAGGCCGAAGCCGGCCGTTCGCGCTAGCGGTTGAATTTTGAAGTGAACAATGCGTAAACAAATAGACATCTTGACCTGCCATCCTCGATATTGCAAACAAGAAGAAGCCAATAAAATCAAGCGCAATTGTGCGGAAAAGTTTCTTAACCGAGCAGTAGCGTTCGCGAAAGATGATGCGATACGTGTATTTTGGTTGTACGTTCTCGTAAATGTAAGTTGGCACGTTTGATCCTAACCTAGCGACACAACCTGCGGAGCTCGCACACCGACACGACCATAGACGCAATATATCTAGACCGGGCGTTCGCCTTGATTCGAGCAGTGGGGTTAAGCCCGTATCAGACTACGGATTCCCGCGAGTGAGAGAGAAGCATAAGCTATCTCACTCTTCTTACGATTCTACGATCGTAAATTTGGTGTATATACGAGAAACAGACTAAAAATCCCACGATTGAAAATGTATAATAATGTGCTGAGAAAACGAAGCGATCGTGTGAAATGTGTATGTACTTACGTTTCGTGGCACGATTGACCAGACTCCGTGGAACGACTGACACTTCGTGGCACTTTGTACAACACCTCGGTATTAATCACACGCGACAGAGAAGGAACGCGAAAAATATACGATTGGACGCAGTCGCTATTTGCACTCGGTATTCCCCGTGAATTTATCCGAGGGTATTCGACGCAAATTCCGTTAATAAAAGAAACATTAAGCGAAAAACTTGAAAGTTATACGCACTTTGACATCGACACGAAGCAACGAGAAATTCCACGCGACACAAACGAGCATCGATTAGAGAAGCAATTATCGTCCGTATAATTAACGCAACGGACAAGTAATTTCACTCTCGGTAACCGAGCGTCGATAGCAAATCGCGAGGACTCGCGCGATGATACCGTTTGCTAATTATTCGCGGAAAGCGATCGCGGTTTCTTCCCGCACTTAAGCCTATCACACAATGCCAGGCAACAGGCAATAGGAATAGAGAATAGAATTTTTGACGCGCTGGATTCGTCGGAAATTTTCTTCCAACCAATTCTATTCCCTGTTCCTATTGCCTGTGCTTTCCTATTGTGTGATAGGCTTTAATCGCGAACGCGTGTCGCGAAAGAATAAATACGGGACAATACGGTATGCGGAACGGCGCGGGCACAACACACTCGTTCAACTGTCGCCGCGTGAATGATCCTGCGTAAAGCGTGACCTTGTTTCTTGCCGGGCGCCGTAGACCGAGCGGCGCGGCGTAAACAACTCGGTCGAAAGCCGAGCGCCGGTTCCACGAAATGACGTAGCGCCGTAAAAACACCTCGGTCGAAAACAATCTAGTGAACGGAATTATTCGTCGCGGATCAGTCGTGCAAGGCGAACGTCCCGGACGCCTGTGTTTCGCGTCGCTCCTCGTAACGCGTTTATTTCTTACGAAAATCTCGATCGTCTACACAACGAACTCGGACGAATCTCTCTCGCGCCGTGCTGTTAAAATATTCGTTCAAGTTAAACATTCGTCACTTTTAGATTGAAAGCGTAAGGTGATACACGAATCGTCGGGTAAAATAATTATTATAATACATCGATCGCATGCTAAGAAATAATCTCGCTGACAATTGTACATACGAAAGTGCGCGTATAATACGAAGTTTCCATTTTCGTCGCGTTCGGGAGTGCCGTTTGAATAATCGAACCAAAGACTTTTCGAAGCCCATTTGAACAAGTGTTCGTTCGATGTCCGTTCCTGTCACACTTTTGAGATTCGACAGTTATTGAGGCTCGCAATAAGGTGTGGATACCGCGTGTCTCAACTTTACTCGTCGACTCGAAGTGGAGGCGAACTTGACGGAACAGAATACCTTCGTATGGGATTTGCAAACGGGAGTGTAAAATCGCGGCGAACGTTCTTTGTGCTTTCGCGAGTGTGCCGGAGGACAAGATCTGAGTGGAGGAGCAGACCTGGAAAAGGCATCAGGCGTCGGCGGAGCAACTTTACGGTAAATGTGATTTTTCATTTTGTGTAAAAGTATTCTTTTTGCCAAAATAAAGTTTGATACGCATAAGAATTACTTGTGCGATCTAACTATATTTTGCAAATATATTTTACAACATATTAGTTTTCACATGGAACACTGCTTTAACGAATTCTCTATTTGTGTTACAGAATCGACGTACGCCAACTCCGCTGCTGCGCATCGGTCGGTGAGTGAGTAGTTTTTTATTGAGGTAATGAATCTCGTAGATCGTAGAATGTAGACCATAGACTGATATATTCTGGAGATTTATTACCTAAAAATGGATAGATTACAGTATAATTTCATGTTTACTTTAAAATATATTTCATTTATCGAAAGGGAGTGATCGCGACTTTTATTGTGGAGGGTTGAGTGCTCCGTTGCAGCATGTCGCACATTTTCACGCAAAATATGACGAATATTATTGATATATTCGTCGAGTTAATCTCTTGTGACCTATTCTATCCATTTTTCAGTAGCAAATTTATACATGTATGTAAAGTAAAATACTATGGCGTGAGATTCGAATATTTTGTCGAGAACGCTGAAACTTTATATTATTTTCATACGCTATTTGAGATTAAATTATGATTAACTAGAATGTTCAATTGTCGGTCTGTCTATCGTACGGAAAGTTTCTTTTCTCTGGATCTCACGTCATTTATTCTGTATGTGTATCTCGCAATACACTTTCAAGATGCGTCTCGCATGAATACATGCACAGTTACACGCATCTTCGTGTTTTCGCGGTCGGTCTTCGCGATCAGTTTTCAGCAAATTTTTCAAGAAATTATTGTTTAATTTCATTCATATTATAAATTTTCATTTATCGCGGAATGTTATTAAAATAAATATAACGCGAAGTAAATTGTTTTTTTCTATATACATATATACTTGAATTTCGAATTTGGAGATTGAGTCACGAAGAGACAGTCATTATCTATTCTCGAATAAATAACGGAAGTAAAGATATATATGATTAGTTTTATACAGAAAAATTTCTAAATTCACTTTCTTCTTTAATTAACTTCTCGTGGTCTTGCATTTCGATACGATCGACGCTCGCATATAATTCGAACCGTACGAAATATCTGTCGGTGAGGATAATAAACCGACTATGGAAGGAATTTCCTTCCTTCCTGATCTCTGGTCAAAATGACCAGACTGTATGGCCGGGAGCAACGAAAGGTATGTCCAATCTGGCCCAACGATGGAAAATTGGATAAGATAACGTAAGTGGTCAATATTGGCCACTTTAGTAGAGTATGTAAGGTGATGTTCAAAACAATGTGATTTCTTTCATGTGTCAAAATTCGGGTGGGTTATTTTTCTTTATATATTCTCGCATATGTGTGCAAAATTGAAGAGACCCCTATTAAATCCCAATCGCGCGCGTATTATAACCCCAAATTGAACCTTATATAAATCGCGTCGCGGTTTTAATAAAAGACTTTTAGGTCTATTAAAAAAGTTGAGACACGGATAGGTATTAGGAAAATGGATAGGACTATAACATCGAAATACGGGCAGGTAGAAATTCGGGTAGGCAGGAATAGTGGGACATAACTCGATAATTAAAAAGACAGATACGGTTACAACTGCAATGCATTACTGTTAAATATAATATTTTCCATAATTTTTAATAAAATACTTTTAATAAAATATATATTTCTAATGAAATATATTTTTAATAAAATGTATTAAATTACACTAAAAGAAACATTATATTATAATTTTTTTGTATTTATTTTCAATTTTAGAACATTAGTTGTAGAAATTAGAAAAATGTAATATCGAATATGTAATTGGATGCATATAATAAGATAGAAGTTGTTATGCGTTCGTTAAATTTTTACTTTAAATTTACTTAAAATGTTTGTAGATTTGATTTACTTTGAAGAGATCGTTAATAAATACATTCGAGATTTTCTATCCCAAACATACAATATGATATATTTTACATTGCAAGAATTTCATGTTATTGTATGCATACCGAATATTTCACATATAACGTCGAGAGAAATATTGTATTGTACAGATATTATATTTGTAATTTTATGATGTAATTTTTTTCTTTTATAATATTGTGTATATATTGTAAAGAAAAGAGGACCGCCGATTGAAATCGGCGGAGGTGGTGGAGGGCCTCTGTGGAGACCGATTTGTTTTCGTCAAATAAAATTTTAATTCAATTGGATTCACATATATTCTTTTAATTCAAAGTCTTAAGCAAAACTAGATAATTAAAGACCCCCCCACAGATGGGCACTAACGATTGTTATTTTAAGTAAATAGATAAGTTAAATTTATTGTGTATAAAGTTAAATAAATAACAGTATTTTTAATTCAAGGTTTCTTTTATCTTTTCGCGACTATCGTAGATGGAATTTTCGACAAAATAGGAAAACGGCGAGGCGGCAGTATATTCGCCTTGTGTAATATTTTATCTATAAGGATTCGAAATAAATGTCTAACTTTGATGTTCCATTTCGATGTGATAAAAATCAAGCATATATTATAGAGGCTCGTTTTTATCATTTTTATTGACTCGCTACATTTGCAGAACAAACTTAAGAATGTTGCTTCAATTAGCTTTAGGTTTATTATTGTTTCTATAAAATGCATCGAGATAATACTTGTCGTATCTCGGATTTCTTAGGACAATGTATCTCCAGTGAAGAATTTCGCCAAATAAAGCAATGAATCCGAGAAGATAACCGATCCCGAGGGCGGTAAGGGCACCGTACAACTTGCGTAAATTTACTAACGCCGTCTCGGATTCCGATTTCAGTCGTGTCTCAGTGATCTTCGACCATTCCATGACATCGCTCAGCCATTTGCCCACCAAACCGACTTCCGTCATCCGCGTCACCTGAAACGCGAATTAAGCGATGCTAAATAGTCCGAGATCCTAGAAGCCTAATATCAATATCAACGTTATAAAATATTAAGGGCAGGATGGAATTTTTTTACTAAGTCACTTATGCGTAATAATATTAATTCAATCGCCCGAAATATCCTTTGAGGGATGCGTAGCAAAGAATTTTATACATAGAGAGAGAAGTCTCCTATTTTAAGATATGCTTCTAATGTGAGACTACGGAGTTTCAACGTTCAATTTCATAAAATTTCCCTCTATGCACTATGATATAACGTTCTATACATAAGTAAAATTGAGTAGATATTCAATTCAAAATTTCAAGAAAGAACAATGTTACTTCATCAGATTTGATGCTGAAAGAAAGCAGGAAACGTGCGTTTTGATGGATAAAATTATTCCGACAAAACTATCCTTTTATTCTCGTGTTCCTGAGCTACGTTCGCAATAACTTGAGCCGCAATAATTCACGGGGCAGCAAATTACCCCACAACGGATTAATATATACAGTCAAGCGAGCTACCCATAGATCCACGTGGGGCTTGAGCGGCGAATTCTTCTCCAGCCCTAGCGCGATCGGCATGTGGACGACGCATTCCTCCATAATATGCAGATTGTATTTGACGGACGATTCAGCGCTCCTCGCGCTCACGTTCTTCCGATCATTTTGCTTCTCGAATATTCGCCTGCCGCGTGCGTGCTGTAATAAATACGAGTTCTCGTAGTAACAGAACGTCCCGTTGGCCACCCGATCGATCGCGTCCTCCTCGTTTTCCGTCAACTCGAACTTGTTGCCGATCTCCTGGCTGTGTGGGTCCGAGGAGGCGAGGAAGAACCCTTTGCTCTCCTCGTTCCATCCCCCCACAGCCAGCGACGATCTTGTCAGCTGCGCCAAAGTATCGATGGTTACTCTGCAATAAAAATCGCATCAATTGACTGCGGCAGAAGATGAAATTTACTTTTAAATATTCGATGTCAATTAAATTAATTAAATCAATGAAATTAACTCAGGGCTCGGAATTAACCCTTGTGTTCACGATGTTAAAAATCGGCCCGAGAAATGTGTAGCTATATACTTTATATGCTGTGACGTTGCCGTCCCGCGTGCGCGTCCACCGGGTTCCTCCCTCAGGGCAACAGGCCGAGATTAGGGGAAACCGTGCCGCAGTCTCCAGAGAGGCGACCGTTAGAGATTTTGTCGTTCCGACGTTATTTCTGATTTTTTGTTGTTGTTATGAATACGAGCGTGTGAGTACGGATGGACGCGAGGGCAGAGGAGAGAGGAGAGGCCCGGCTAACGGACAAATTCCGCGGCGAGCACGGGGAGAGGCTTGCGGATTGAGAACGGAGCACGCGGAGCAGCGAGCCGGGAGGAAGGAGCCCAGGGCCCGTGGCACTCTACCTGAAGGGCGTCAGCGGGGGAGCCTTAGTGGGAAAATATCGCTGCTGGCGTTGTCGCGTGCCGTCGCGCGATTGGCCGCGGGGCACGCGCCTCGCGTGAGCAGCCGCGGGGGTGGGGGGGGGGCCGAACTATCGATAGTATCGATCCGCGATCACGGAATTTCGGGAGCAGCCTGTTGCCGAACTTGTAAGAGTGAGGACCCCGGTCTGCCGCTACCGCCGCTTTACCGCCACGAAGTGCGAGTTCCCGAGCGAGATCAGGACGAGCCGTTGCCGCCTGCCGATCCCGGGAGAGCCGAGGTGCCGGTGAGATCCTCCTCCGTCCGTTTCGCCCCGTACGATTGCGTCCGGGCCCGTGTTGCTCTGTCGTCGTCGGGAAAATTTCGCGTTTGGTGTTGCCCGGGCTACGGCCCGTCGGCTTTAGATTTTCTTTGGTGCCCCGGTCGCGACGACAAGCAGCCGCGGTCCCCGGAGCCTGCAGGGCACAGGTCTCCTTTTATGTGTGTGTGAGTGAGTGTATGTGAGTCGAGTTTCGCGATCGCGCGGAGCAGTAGGAGCCGATCTGGAGATTCGCGGCGCGAGGGTTGCGTTGCGCGAGATCACGCGGGGTACGCATGCCGCGGGAATGTCTTGTGCATGCGTGGCGTGAGGGCCCGTCGTCGTAGAGCCGCGACGACCGAGAAAGTGCGAACGGCTGTGTGTCTGCGATACCCCGTGCCGCTTCCGCCGTTGTCGGTGGCGGGTTTCGTGCGGACGGCGCGTCCGGAGCGGGATCCCCTGCCGACCAGCGCGGCCGGCGCGGCCGGGAGAGAGAGCGAAAAGCTCATCGTAGTTAGCCGTCGGGGACTGCCCGGCGGGGAATTGCACGTCGTTGTAAGACGGGCCGATCCGTCGGCCGAATACCCAGTTTCGCGGGCGAAGCGCCCCGGCCGAGTGTTGCGGGTGCGACGGTATTCGTACCGTTCGCGAGAACATTACCGTTGAATGCGCCCGTGTCTTCCGAGTAGGGTTTATCGCGTACGGATAATTTCTGCCGTTGAGTTCGCGCCGGATTGCTCCGTATCGCTTGGAGTATCGCGGCGAGTTGTTCCCCCGATCTCGGGGCTTGTAATATTGGGTTTGTTTTCTGTTCCTGCACTGGTGAACTAGTGCAGTAAGCTAGAATGAGAAAAAATATGCTTGTCTTACTCCAATTTATTGCACTAGTTCACTAGTATAGGAACAGAAAACAAGCCTATTGTCGCCTGCGACTCCGCCCGTTACAGCGGCCGCTCAACCGGCTTGTTACCACCGCTTTACATTAAACCCGATTTTATTTATATTATTTTTCGAGTTTCTTTTCGTGTACGTCTCTCTTCGTGCGTCTCGTCCGTCGTTTGAATTCATTAAGTCCCGTGGCCTCTGGAATCTTTTGGTGTCAACAACCGCCCAGCCCTTCTACCGTTAGGCGAGCTAGCCTGCCCGTGACGAAGGCCGATACCGATCGTTCGTGTGATTTGGCGGATATCGCGACGTGACGCGTGAAAGACCGCGTCTGGCGCCCAATCTTCGTTTTTCGCGTCGAGCCTTCGGCTTTCGGCACGGTACGCGCGGAGCTACCGAGATCCTGCTCTTTTCCGGCGCGTTATCATTTTCCCCCCCTGGTTTTTGACGACGACTCGATCCGTCCGCATCCCGCGCTCCTCGCGCCCGGCGACCGCACTCCCGTCGTCGGCGCGCACCTCCGATTAAGACCCGCGCGCGCGACAACAAGAGCGGGACGGCAACACCCGTCCGTCCACGTATAACGGGAGGACGGAAGAATAGAAAGAAAGAGATAATAATCGTCGCAATGCATGCTGTATATCATCATCGTATACTTGGCGATAGGACGTGATAGGGTCGCCGTCATACTGGCGCGATAAGCAACGGCCGCCAGGATGCTGTAGACCCACCACCAGCCGATGAAGATCCTCACGGTCCAGGCGTTCGGCAAACGCGGCAGGGAGACCTGAAGCAACATACTGTATGTGTACAGCATGCTGTTTTGGAGCTCGGTGAACAGATACAGACCCGACGTACTGTCGTACGCTTCGTCGTGTTTCGAAGTTGCATGCGAGCCTATGTACTTCTGGTAGAGCAACGCAAACACGTGGAAAGCCCCGCCGCCCAACAATAGGGTGCAAAGAAGCGCTATCCATGCGTTCAGGCTGGAAATATGAAAAGTGTAGCTTTGAACGTTACGCGATGCAAGTGCCAAGATTAAAAACACTGAAACTTTTCTGGATATTGTAATAGAATAGAATATTATAATAGAGATGTGCGAATCAAGGATTTCTGATGTCGAGTCGAATCGAATCGAATCGAATCCAATCTCACTCCCTTTTCCGAATTGAATCGGTAAAATTTCATCCAAATCGAATCGAATAGACGACATATAATATTTAATTTACAATATATCTAATTATTAGATTCAATTTGTCTTCGTTGACGTGGACAAATAATATTGATACTATATGACAAATTCGTTTTAAGATAAAGAACATATTTAATATGTATAAAGCTAATAAGACTACTTAAAGTCACGGCAACGTTCAATTCCAGTCAGTTCAATTAGCATTCGAATAGTTTGCATTTCCATAATATATTCACTTAAGCCGAGATTACGATGAACTTAACGTAACGGGACGCGACGGGACGTTACGTAACGTAAAACCTAAACACATTGTTTTTATATGCGGCTGATTACGATCGACGTGACATGAAGTGTCAGAACTTAACGCAACGTGAAAACTGCCAATGTCAAGCTTCCCGTTACGTTAAGTTCATCGTAATCCCGGCTTTAGCAAAGATTAAAGTAAAAATTTCCGGGGAAAAAAGCCATATATCCAAGTTTATCTAATTGTATCAAATAATGTCAGATATGATCAAATGTGATCAGATTATATCCAAATTTTAATGCATCCATTTATAAGTATATCAAATCAGATGTGGTGAGATATAGTCAGGTAAAACGGTACAAATATCTGACCACATTTGATTTGATACGCTTATAAACGGATACATTAAAATTTGGATATAATCTGATCAAATTTTATCACATCTGACATTTTTGATGCAATTAGATAAAATTGGACACATGGCTTTTTTCCCCGGGACACTATTCATTTTGACTAGTTGCAGTCTTGTGCCGTTTAACTCTTGCAAACTTTTTCAACGAATCATTATTCACATGAGCGTACAAGCGTATTTGTGACATTATAACGTACCTAAAAGGTAGTATCAGTAATTTCCATGAATTATCAGTTAATGCCTCTGGTGTTAAGAAGGTAAGACACTCTGTATTATACGGTGTGGATAGGTCGAAATAATTCAGATGATGCAGCGTATAATGCAGATCCCCGAGAAAGAAATCGGCATTTTCGGCAATCGCCTCGCCGAGGAGGCCCGTGTAGCTATCGTTATCTCCCGCACTGCCCCATCTCTCGCTGACGATGTTAGAAGGCATATAGTAGTTCGTTTCGAAGTTCATCGCCTTTGCTATGATTCGAATTAACTGAAACATAGTCCCTACATTTCCTTACTGTAAATTAAAAAAAAACAAGAGTGGCGAGGAATAGTTTGTATTTATTCCTGTGCATTTAATAATGCCGGGAAAAGGGAGTGCTGCTTTTTTTTGGTAGAAACTTAGACGCCTGAATTTTTAGACCAGTTCGCGGTAATGGAAATAGGAAATATCTAACAAAAGTATTGGATTTATTTTAATTCCGTTAAAATAAAGACAATTGCTGACTTACATTTTATTAACGTCATGTTCGATATCTTTTACAGTTTATGGTTTGTAATTTTCATTTTCATTTTTATCCATTTTTCTGCTTTATTCGTCGCTTCATTACGTACCTCAAATTCGATACCCAAAGCCTTAGGGCTTGCAGTTGTTGTACTTTGTTGATAGTAATCTCGCGATGCTTCCGTCACGGCCGGTACATGTTCGAACACCGCAACTCTACAAATTTTGTCAGAAAAATAAACTAACATAAGAGTGAATTTAAATGTATCAATGACATTTTTAATTCTAAACTTTTCAGGGAGAATGACTCGTAGATTGACGTCGAAACGATGTCAGATCGACGAGTCATTTATCACCGGGTTAAAGATATACAATTCTATTAGAGCACGGCCATTTCCGCCTTAAATAAATGCATGTGAGGGAACCAACTTAGATAATATGATAATTATCGGAATTTATTGCGCATGCCCCAAGCTTTTCATTAAAAATATCGAAGAAACTATTGCACTTAAAATAAATTACAATTGTTACAGTTTTTGTAATTTGCAATGTTTCCTTCAAGTTGCGATTTGCGAACGAATCCCGAGAATTATGAGCTTCATTCTCGTGCATACATTAACGAACGAATGATTACGTACTAACCGCAAACTGTTGCCACGAAGGTCCGTAGTTTTCGGTATGTAGTGATTATTACCGTAACGCAATTTGCCGTTCTGCCAAGAATCGATGTACTTGATCGCCGTGAAGTCTCTGGTGCGCGACGGATAATAGACGGTATTGAGATCGATTCGTTCCTCGGTAACTCGCTCACCCGAACGGTACTTGTACGTGCTGTATCGCCGTATGAACACCACGTTAACAATTCGATTCCAGATGTAATGCAACTCGGGCCTGAACAGCCGATTGTCGTGCAGAAGTAAGAAGTAGCCGCGCGTGTTGATTAGACGTTCTCTGCGGAGATCGTGAGGGCGATTCGAAGAGCACGGGAGAAGTTAAGAGGATCAAAATACTAAATGCAAGCCCCGATAATAATATGAGAATCCGCGAGTCATAGCGCGAGTATCTTGGAGAAAGCGAAATCAACAACTTAGAGAATATTCCGCGGTTCTATAATGAAAATAATTTCACAGAAGCCTCGACAAAGTCGGCTGAATCTTCAGTTTGTAAAGTTACTTATTAATTTCCAATTTTCAATTTTTAAACCAAATTAAAATAAGATGTTCTACCGCCAGCAAATATTAAAATAATCAAGGTGTGAATACACCTTGTTTTCATTTTCAATTTAATTTTCACTTACTTTTCAAGTGGCTGAATTATTTACAGATAAATGTATAGTCGACTAAAAACTTTTGGTATTCAAATTTGCAAGTATAATAATGGAAAAGTAGGCTTTTAAAGTCCAATGCGCTGTACCGTTACATTTATAATTTGTAATGAATTACATAGTACCTATGTTGCATAGTATTAAGTCACGTGTAACCAACCGCATTTCACTTGCAAAGCCACTTTTTCCTTGTCCGGTTATTCACGATGACAAATCTATCATTGTTAGTCGTAAGAAATATGTGTTATTGCGTAGCCCCGACTGTTTACCCTTCGACATATTGCAGGAATCGTGATGATAGCAGTCCATTGCCGATTAGTATAACATATGCATCGCAACCTGTTGCTTTGACTTGTTGAAGCGTTCTCACTATTTTTTTCCTCGGCCGTGAAAAATCCTCGCTATCGCGCACAGCAATCTGAAGTGAACAAATACGATAAATATGTATGAAAAAGTCATCCTTATCATAAATATTTATGATAAAATAGCACTTTGTTATCGAATTACATGCAAAGTAAGAGCAAAAGAGAACTTGAACCCTTTCATGACCACAGAAACTTAAGTCTCATTTATACTTTTTGCCTCTCTGGTTCCTCAGGATCCCATTAAAAAAAACAATCATAATAATAAACAAAAATAACACGGCCATGAAAGGATTAATTGACGCGACCAGAATTAATTGAGCTTCAAAATTTTAACTTTATGTGATTATAAATTTTTTTTAATCATATGTTTCTGTTATAAATGAAACTTTTCGCTCGGAATATTTTAATCGCGGGTACTTACGTCGTATCTCGATAAGAAAGAAGATATTTCGAGGGCGCGCACATCGATCAGTCCGCGATAAGCGGGATCAGTGATGAAAACAATGCAACTGCTGTGTGTGGCTATCTCTTCTACGATTTGTTCGACCACCGATTTTAGGTCGGCCGTTTTGCGTTCGCACCAACGCAGTCGTTCAAAACTTCTGCAACACGCGGGAGCGAAGTTTGCATTTCTTTTCAGTTATTTTAATAATTTTAGATTTTTAATAATTTAAAAAGATAATTTTTTGAGATCAATTAACACAAGAGCAATATGTTAAATTAACACATGAATGTGTTAAACGTTTAGCACAAAAATTTTTACCGGTATTTTTTTAACAAAAAAAAACAAATTTTCCAACTGCGTACCTTTCGGCAATGACGAGTTGCGAAAAGAAGACAACAACCACCGTTGTCGCAGCGCGCATATTTGGAGGGTTTTATCCGCGCGAGCGACTCTCGCCGAGGAGAATCTTTCGCTCCTATTAAACTATCGATCTTTCGGAGCCCTCGTCCCCCTTTACTCTTTCGCGACTTCAATTCTTGATGATCTCGTTTGCAGGCAATTGTGCTTATAACCTGGTAGTCCTGCATAATTCCTCGCAAAAGTCTCGTCCGCCTCGAACCGACATTGGTGCAGCGGGCGTCGAAGCGAGCGCTTTGCTTTGAATAATTTATTTCGCCCGTTAAAATGTCATTAAGAATCCAACTGCGGACAGGCAATTATTGTACCCGAGTACATTCTCCGTAAAACTTTCCCAACATACGTTTTTCCCGATGACTATTTGAAGACAACTTACAGCGAACAAACACGTTTCTAAGGACTCTTGTATAATTAATTCGCAGTCGCTGATGTAATTTTATGTTACTACGTGTAACCTTACGTGTTTTAGATCTACTGCTAGTCACGGTTGGCATAACTTTACATCATTTCAGGGTTGGGAAGTAACTCGTTACTTGTAGCGAAGTTACAGCTACAGTTACATTTTTGGCAACTCTAACTTAACTTCGTTACTTTCTCTCTATCTGTAACTGTAGCTTAACTCAGTTACATTTTTTTTCGATAACCAGTAACTAATTTAAGGCGGCTCCTGCACAAAGGAGCGGATAGTATGGATGCTTCGGTGCTTTTATTTTTATAAATTCATGTGACTTGTTTCATTAAGAAAAATATCACTTAACGCATTAATGATTACATGCATTGATATACTAGGTTGTCAAATCTCCAAGAGCTGCCAGATTTCCTCAAAACATTCTATTTTTCGACTTTACTAATAGATATTTGCTTGCGGCATAAAATACAACCATCAACATAAGAGATAATGATTGACGTCGAGAATAACGTCGTCTTATTTACGTTAGAAACGTTAGTAAGATGTTACTTGTCATCTTGCTGCTTGAGACGTTATACAGGATATTAATAGAAAAGTTTCTTAAGAGTAACGTTACGAACATATACACGTACACCCATGCAGCACAAACATTTTTAACTACATTACAGTAACGTTGCAATATCATACATTCCAGTGCAATATTGTAGGAACATTTCCAAACTATGAACAATCTTCTAAATCATTCTATAAAGCGGTACGTATTTGTTTTTGCTTATGAATGAATTTCTCATTTACATGACGTATAATTTTTACAGCTTTCAAATTTTTTTTGTATATTTGTTTTCCAATATAATCTATTGGGTTGATGCATGAGTTCGTCTCGTTTTTAAATATTTGCGCACTTTATATACGAATTCGATCTGCTATCAACTTCACACTTACACGACGTATTTAAAAGTAGCAATTGAACGGAAACTTTACTGTCAAATTCGTTGTCGTCGATTGATGTTTGTGAGTCGTGTAAATTTATGAAGATGGATAAAAATGAGCAACACTTTCGGTATATTATGCTTTTTACGTATTTTTGTAAAGGCAAACTGCTGTTCAGACCACGAGAAAAATATGTTCTGTCTACGGAGAACATGTTATTGACGATTCCACCGTTCGTAAAATAGTTCCGATGGCTCCGCAATGGAAATTTTAATCTCACGGATGAGAAACGTCCTAGGCGTCCTTCCGGAAATGACAGTCACGAAATCTTGGCCTTGATTGAAACTGATCGTCACAAAACAACTCGTAAGATTGCATATATCACTGATTAAATGCATATCGACAAAAAATAATAGATATGAAATTTTTTGTTTAAAAACGGGACAGACTTATGCATCAACCCAATACACGCCACATGCATATAACAAATATTGACAAGTCATTAATTAAATCTCGAGTCGAGGGTCTGTCTTCGACTCGGGTCGTCCTAGAGTCCTAAATTTTGGCAAAGGACAAGATCGCGCGTCGTAAGCAATTTTCCATTCAGAATCTGTAGGATTTTTTAAAATCTATGTCGGAATTCATTTCACAATTTGGAAAATGCAAAAAGAATTCTTCTTGGATTCTCCGCACTATCCGGAAGTGGGAATCAATCCTTTCTTTAATTTCGACACGCTCAATCTCTCGTTAAAACGGCACTCTATGTACGAAACAAACAGATTCTAACACTTCGAGTGAAAGTCCCGCCAATTCCAAAGTCCGGATCAGGAGGAAAAAATCTCAACCCCTCCACATAAATTTCCTGTTTACATCTCGCTCTACGTCAAGCTGAATCGCAAATATATAGATTTGAGTCGCTGGCTTTTCTTATCTAAGACCTAGACTTAATCTCGCGGAGGGGAGGGGAAAAATGAGGGGAGACGCACTTGGAGCCGCCATCCTGCCCACAAGTACGTGCGCCAAAGTTCGACGATTCTCGATTCAAGGCTCCTTCGCGTTTAATTTATTATTGTCGCTATCTGTCCACTGTTTTCTACACGACGGTAATAATTCATCCCTTAAAAAAACAGGTAAGAAACGTCGGTGACATTTTATCTTTTCCAATATTCTCCGTCCATTTGGAGTCGGTGTTTCTCGAATAATTAAAGATTATTCAAGACCTGTTTCCTCGTGTCTCACGCTTTTTTTGTGGCCGCCGCGTCGAAGCAATAGGTAAGCGTGTGCCTTTTCGTTATCATCAGTAATTGATGATTAAAAAAAAGATATCTTGTTAGCGATTGCCGCGTTATTTGAGTGCAAAGTGTGCGGTGACTGCGCAAGTTTACCGCGCACGTGCGCGGATCCGCGCGCGCACGACGAACAGTCTGCTGCGATCGGTTTGCAAGTTCGGTTCTCGATTTCTCCGCGGGACGTTCGCGAGTGCGCCGACCCCATTTCGCCGTCAGTCCGTCGTCGAGTCGCGAGGTGCACAGCGAACTCACTGGTGTGCGCATACTTGCGGACGTGTCAGAATCTCGCTCGCTTTCTTTTAAATTTAAAACATCGATATATAGGCCGATGGCAGAAAACGATCGTTCTCTGCCATCGGTCTTGAGGCCATTCTACAATTGCGTAAACGTGGTTGTTAGCGGTTGTACAGTGTTGTAAAACACAGTTTCCCAAGGAGAACAAAAAGTCAGGATGATGTCAATTTGATGTCGTATTGAGCAAATTTATGTCAAATTTTGGCCAATTTGATGCCATATTGACCAAAATTTGACATAAATTTGCTCAATAAAATTGACATCATCCTGACTTTTTCTTCTCCTTGGGTTTAAACTAGCATTTCCGATTGTAAAGTCTGTTGTAAAAGTTGGCTGAACTTCATCTTTCACGACTACAACGATGTAGGACGTAAAGGCTAACCAAATCATTCACTTTAATTACGACGTATCTTACTCTATTGTACATTACTTTGATGTTGCAACACTTACTACTACTTGTACTCCTCCAACCCTGCAACTACGTTTACGCAATTGTAGAATGGCCTTTACGCGTGGTCTACAATGGCAGTAGGAATAGTGGATTAAGGCTGCAAAGGCCATTCAATTGCGTAAACCGCGGTTGTTATCGGCTGTGTGGTGTTATAAAACACAGTTTTAAACTAGTATTTCCGATTGTAAAGCCTGTTGTGAAAGATGGCCACGATAAGATTCGCTACATTTCGACATCCGGCAGCGACATAGAACGTAGAACAGGCCTTATCTAAAGCCCGCTGCAGACGATGCTATTTTTCCTGCTGGATTGCTTGCAATTTAGTAAATTACTAGGAATCCTGAATGCTGAGTGGTGCAATGATAGTAATTTACTAAATCGCAAGCAATCCAGCAGGAAAAATAGCATCGTCTGCAGCGGGCTTTACATCTACAACTGAGCAGTCTCTAAAGCGTTTACGGATCGTTCTCTGCCATAGGCCATAGGATTTTTACGCAACGACCTGTCGAGCGCGAGTAAATTAAATTTACCGCTACGACTACTTCCGGGTTTTGACGAGACATGGCGGCACCAATCAACACCGCGGACGTTATTTCGCGACTCTGGGAGCTTTCCAGCAAGCGACACAAGTCGACACAAGTGTCGTTCTGTCTTTATTATTCATTGAATGCGAAGAAAGACAGAACATTTGTGTCGACTTGTGTCGCTTGCTGGAAAGCTCCCTCTGATTAGAGGGGTCTCTAGGAGGGAGGAGATGCGAGATGCGACTCTCTGCAAACTCCGCTATTTTTACAGCACGCTGTCGTCGGAGAGGGGATAACGCACACTTCGGCCAACTTTGGTCGAGTAGAAGAGCTTAGGCGTTATCTGCTCTCTCTCTCTGGCCGGTATTCATAATCAGATCTTATATTCAAGACCGTCTTAAGATCATCTTTAGGAGGCCTCGGCGAAGAAAGAGAGAGCAGATACGTCTATGCTCTTCTACTCGACCGGTGTTGGCCGAAGCGCCCGAGCGCACACGTACACGGCCGCTCGCTTGTTTGCGTTAGCCCCTCTCCGACGACAGCGTGCGGCGAAAGTAGCGAAATTTGCATCTCTAGATGCCGACTAGAGTTGACGTTGCACTCATGGTGTAAAGATACAAGGTGAAACATTGCGCACGCGACCAATTTTTCGGGCAAATTGTTCATTGGTTCTTCGTGCATTCAACCGCAATGATTTGCAGTTGATGGTTGGGGCAAATTACTGATTGGTCAATTTGGTAGTTTGGGCCGCTTCTGATTGGCTGACACTGCGCCACCAGATTGCTTCACCTTGTATCTTTACACCATGGCTGCACTCGCGGCTAATCACCGCTAATCCGCTAATCAGTTCAATCAGTTGTCAGTCGACACCTTTCCTGGTTCGGTCGTAAAAACGTCGTTGTGCCTATGGTGGAAATAACAAGGTGAAGCATTCCCGATGCGCACTCGTTCAATTTTGTAAGCCAATCATCGCGCGACCCATTTTGCGAGTTCCGTTTGGGACGTTGAGCGGTTCGCACGTCTTCTGGTTGAAGAAAAAAAAAAGTTTGATACTCGCGGGTTGCATCATCTAATAGGGATTGCATCATCCCGCGCGAGGTCCGGTAGTTGGGCCTCTGCATTGTGTGACATCAAAAACGTGATGACACGATAAGATATTTACACCATCAAGACTATTGGTTCGTCGTGGCCGTATCGGCTCAGTGAGTGAGCCGGGAGCCAATAAACTAGAAGAAGAAGAAAGAAGAAGCGACCCATTTTGCAAGGAAAGTAATATGGCTGCTTCCATCAGCGCCTGTCGTCAATCACGTCGTTTGATGCCAGTGAACTCTATACATACTGGAATGAGTGATCTATAGTTCTGGCTGTTGCCGAGAGAGAGGTGCGTTGAGTGAATCCTTGTCTCCTTCTAGTACTACCTGATTAGATAATCGCATATAAGTGACGCCCTTCTTCTCGTCATTTATATGCGACTACCCAATCAGGTAGTACTAGAAGGAGACAAGGATTCACCCAAACGCACCTCTCTCTCGGCAACAGCCAGAACAATAGATCACTCATTCCAGTATGTATAGAGTTCACTGTTTGATGCTTACGTCCTTTCTTTAAATATTGCATGAAAAAGAAGTGGACAAAGCTACATATGCAGTAAGTAGTAAATATAATTAATGTTGAGACATCATATTACTTCATATGTGTTTAATAATATGTTTAATAATATAAAGGGCGCCTACAAAATGGGTCGTCTTCTGATTGGTTTAACCGGCAAAGCTGCCGCCATTATGCGCAATGCTTCACCTTGTTATTTCCACCATAGGCTTGTTTTCTATTGCTGCACTGGTGAACTAGTGCAGTAAGCTAGAATGAGAAAAAATATACTTGTCCTACTCTAACTTATTGCACTAGTTCACCAGTGTAGCAACAGAAAACAAGCCTATGGTTGTGCCCTGCGCGATGTAGAGTTTTCAATAGGCCTGTTCTTTATTACTGCACTACTGAACTAGTGCAATAAGTTAAAATGAAACAAATAGATTACCTCTCATTCCAACTCATTGCACCAGTGTGCACTAGTTCAGGAGTGCAGCAATAAAAAACAGACCCATTGTAAGCCCGTCAAATCGGTCAACTCTAAATACAAGCGAACAGGACTGGTCACCTTTCGCGCGGGGTAGATAGCTGGGCACGTTTATCGCCTCGTCTCGTTATCTAGCTGCCTTGTTGCCCCACTCGACCTTATGTCAGATGACATGTTTTTTTCACAAGCGTTCTCGAGTGATTATCGAAAGCGCCAGTCAGCGGCCGGGGATAACGATCGCCGCGGCGTCAACGTGATACATAACTTTTCGTGACAGTAATTAAAACAGCATCAAACTTGTAATTATGCAGAAACTGCTGAATAACCGTGTGTTACCATTCTTAATACCAAACGGTAAGGTCCGCTGTAATTGTTACTCGTTCACGACACGTTACGAAAATTCCAGTTTTGCAAGGCATAAGCGCACGATGTCCACCGCCAGTGATATAATAAGCGATCCGCCGAGGGGACCGCTGGACGTTTACAGGAAACGAGCAACGTTCGACTGGAAGTCGTTCAAGTTGTCCCTGGAAGGAGAGGATGTCGTGCGGAGCCAGGTATCGTATCAGTAGCGCGCACTTTAAGTCTGGCGTAGGCACGTGTTAAAGAGATCAATTGAATGTTTAGAAAAAATTATGGCAACTTCTCGAAAACCACCCTGCGTTTCGAAGGTCGACGTCGCCGGAGAGTCTGGATGAGCTTCGGAGACGCAGCAACGCTCAGATACAAGTGCTCTACGACAATGGCATAGATGTAATTATGATAATTTATGTAGCCACAAGTTGTAATGACCTGGTAATCATTAGTCAGCAGGAGTAACATCAATATTATGATTTCTCGTTCGACGTGTAAATATAAAAGTGAAATGCACATTTGCGAATGACATTTACATTTTGAGTAAGGAATTATAATGTTAATATTAGTGAAATGGTTAGTCGTTGTTCAGTGGGAATTGTGATAGCTAGCATTCGCTGATACCCTTTCTACAGCTAAGGGCCACTTTAGCCCACTCCGATTAACTTTAATCGACGATTAACTCAATCAGCAGTGTCGTCAACATGAAGACTTGTGTGTACCGTTCTTAATCTATCTCTTAGTAACAATTTCATCTCTGTTAAAGCTGTTGTATGTTTTCAAGAAAAGTCTTTTAATTTAATACGTGAAATCACAATTATACTATGCGTCGAAAAGATTAAGTTAGGAACGACACACGCAACAAGTCCTCATGTTGGCGACACTGCTGATTAAGTTAATCGTCGATTAAAGTTAATCGGAGTTGGTTAAAGTGGCCCTAAGGGCCTGAGCAGAATGGCTGTCTTGCACTCTAAAGCCTGTATCAGACTACGTAACAGACTTATTTAAAGAAGTTTAAACGGTCTTTTGAAACTAAGATAACAAAAGATCGTTTAAATAGTTAAACTGTTGTGTACAGTCATTCTTGTAAACTTGAAAAATTCTTCATGGTCACTTAAAGTAATGCACAATAACTGTCTTGTGACTTAAGAATACAAGACAGTCGTTCTGCTTCGACCCTGAGGATGCTCTCGCTTGTGGCTCATCCATTGGATAGACTACGCCGTAAGAAGACGGTTAAAAATCACAGTGAAATCATATAAAAATTTCCGTGTAACTCTACTCTCCACTCGGGCCGCGTTCAGAAACTTCACCCGAGTGCCCCGGTGTATTATTTTATCCTTGATTAACATACGGTGAGCAACAAGGATGAAACGATACATTGGGGCGCTCGGGTGACGTTTCTGAACGCAGCCCGGATGAGCTACAAGCAGGATGGATCGTCCTTGGGTGTAGAAAGGATATGAGAATAAGTGAGTCTAAAACTTTGGCATAAGAGCGTTTGAAACAATATCGGCGCTTTAACAATTTTCGTATAACCTTTTTAGCCATTGGAAGATTTTAAATCTTACCTTTATATTTTTCAATACGATGGGTCGATACCGATAAAAATGAGTATCACGTATGGTATGGTTCCAAGTTCCATATTAGCGTTGGGTACCAGTCAACATCAACATCTTGTAGCAGAATTTGGAAGTGGCCACGTATGTACGAACGCGACAGTCTCGTGAATCGTTATGATAAAACTTATTATAATGTTCTTATTGCTTATAGTACAATGGCTGCTTTGCGTTGACTGAAATTTCTCATGGAACCAACGCGAAAGGCATGCGAACCAGAGCAACGTATGACGTGGCGACGAAGAGTTTTATCCTTCATACACCTGATTTTGAAGCAGCAAAATGTTGGGCAGGTGGTTTAGGTGAGCCAACCCGTGTTATATTACATTTACATTGATGTTATATTGATGTTACGTACTGTTGCTTTGGAGTTTGCTGGCAAGTTTTAGTCGATAAACAATTTACGACCGACAATGAGATGCAGCGTTACTTGATATATTCAGTACTTGCTATATTTCCTAATATACTGTAATTTTTAGGAAAATGCGCGACACACGCCCTTGTATTTGCGCAGCTAATTACACCGGACGGGGTGAGCCACGGCCTGCACGTTTTCATCGTACAGATTCGCGATCTGAAAACTCATCTGCCTCTTCCCGGCGTCGTCGTTGGTGACATGGGCGAAAAGATAGCCCTTAACGGAATAGACAATGGATTTTTAATGTTCAACAATTATTCTGTACCGCGTAGTTGCCTGTTAAATCGCACCGCGGATGTCAGCGAAGATGGGAAGTACGTCATCGCTTTGAAGGACCAACGAAAGAGATACGGTGAGAATTAGTATTGGCACGATGAACCCTCAGAGTCGGGACTAGAAAGTGGCGAACAAGGCATTTGCCTTATGTAAAAGATTTGTAGGGGTGCAAAAATTGCAATACAATTTTTTATAATATATAAAACCTGTATACATAATGATTAGATGTTCTACTAAGATTATTATAATATATTAAACATAACTGATAACAATTATTTTTATTATGTTTTACATGCCGTAAAAGAAATATTTTTTGTTACTGAGGGAGCGCACTTTTTCTCTGGTCTCGGCTCTGATGAACGCACATGGCGTAGTTTTGTAATTTTTGTAATTAATTCCACTGATTGTTATATCTATGCAGGCTTGTCGTTGGGTGCACTCTCGGGAGGTCGTGTCGCCATTACTGCGATATGCATGCATTATATGAGCCTTGCACTAACGATCGCCATACGTTACTGCGCAGTCAGGAAACAGTTCGGCCCCACCCAGGATAATGAATTGCCGGTTATAGAATATCAGACGCAAGTACGCATAACAACGAGGGTTTTATTTCGAGTTGAGCAAAAGAAAAGGTTATCATAATTAACGTAAAATATGTATATTCTAGCAATGGCGCATCCTTCCTCATTTAGCCGAGGTGTATGCGATAAAAATATTTTCTATGACGTTGCAAAAAAGTATGCTTGAGCTTCAACTAAGCCGCTTCACGAATGACGATGAAGACACGCTTGCCGATATAGGAATGGAGATGCACGCGTTATCTTCTGCAGCGAAACCATTTTGTTCATGGACTGCGCGCGACGCGATTCAGGATTGCAGAGAATCTTGCGGTGGGCATGGATACTTAAAAAGTAAGTGCAATATCACATATATGTATTGCATGTACATACATATTGAGACGAACTCTTGTCATTTTATTTTTAGTGTCTCGTTTGGGTGATATAAGAGCTCAAAACGATGCAAATTGTACGTATGAGGGGGAAAACAACGTACTTATTCAACAAGCAAGTAACTGGTTGTTAAATCAATGGGCTAATATTAATAAAGGACAGTCCGTACCATCTCACCTTAATTCTGTGGACTTTCTGGTGAATGCAGAGCAAATACTTCAAACTAAATTTAATCAAACTACAACGGAAGGTGTATTAAAACCTGAAAGTATGATAAAAGTGATTCTTTGTATTTAAATATAGAGGAACGTTCCCTATTATGAGGTAGCCTTATAATGTGAGATAACAGGTTTTTAACGTCCAAGTTCAATTACAAATCTTTTTTCGCGACAACACGATCTAACAATGAATTTTCCACTAAACAGATTTTATTTCAAGGGCAATAAATTCATGGTGGAACCACTAGACGATGCTTATTAATTTAACAGAAACCCTGCTATTTCATATTAAGAACTTGTCTCATAATAGAGGACTTTACTACCGCAAGTTATTAGTTTGACAAATGATTCAGGTTGCGATTAACATGCTATTTTGTTAATTTTAGATTTGCTCCTAGCTTTTAAATGGTTAGTTTGTTATTATTTGAAAAAGACACATCAACGTGTGAAGGAACTCGAATCAAATGGATTGTCTGATTTTGATGTAAAAAACAATTCCCAATCGTTTTTAGCACGAACCTTGTCTCTCGTATATGCAGAGGTAAATAAGATATATACATATAATAATATTTCAACTGAAGTTGAGAAGAAGCGACACATTGTATTTCAAAACACAATTCATATCGAGCGGAAATCTAAGCTTTAAATTCTAAAATGGAAATACACGAGCATCATTTATTCAACAAGTATTTGCAAACAATTTTACATTATCATAGAATGGAAATTAATACAATAAATTTCTTTTTTCGTTATAGCATGCCGTACTACTGTATTTTATCAAATGTTTGCACGATCCAAAATGGACCGTAAACGAAAGAGAGGTACTCACAAAATTGTGTTCTCTATTCGGAGCTATAACATTGGAGAAGAGATTGGGAGACTTGTACGGCGGTGGTTATGCCTCTCCTAACAGTAACATAGACGGTTTTTTGCGGGAAGGAATTATAACGCTCTGCAAAGATTTAGTTAACAATGCTGTTGCGCTAGTTGACGTACTGGCGCCGTCAGACTTCGTTCTTAATTCTGCTCTAGGAATGTCCGATGGCGAGGTATATCCTGCTACCACTAAATATTTTATAGTTTTTATACCGAATTATTTATATGTAATCTTTCGATATGTGAAATTAAAAATGTCTTTTTGTCTAGGTATACAAGCACATAAAAGAGTGGATATTTAAAGACAAAGAAAACTTGGAACGTCCATCGTGGTGGAAAGAAATCCAATCTAAATTGTAATAAAAGTATGAGACTTAAGAGTGCAAATTTCTACTTTTGTTTTACATAGACTTCAAAGTAATATCTTCAAATGATAATTTAAAACAAACGCACAAATTCATGTTGTTCAGAGTTGTGTAGATATTGATTGAAATGTTGAAATAATTTATTATATGCTGTAAAAATTAGTGCCTTGACATAAATTCTTGTTGCACTTTTAATCGGTGACTAATATCATGTTAATATTTTAGTATTAAAATTGAATATAGTTTTTATATATACATTGTTATAACGGTTTTTACAACTTGTACGTGTTTTAACTAGTATCCCATACAGCACCAAAGCTCTCGGAAAATTTCAGAAAACATTGTTGCAATGTTGCAATGTTTCTGAAAGCTTCGGTGCTGTATGGGATATCATCAATTATATTAATATATTTTGTTATACATACATATATATTATTAACAAATTAATAAAATTGGTATGGCTGAAATGTGATAAAACACAAATGTGAAGGAATAAAGGATATGGCCTTGATGGTCAAATTGGTTGAGACTCCCGCCTAGCAAGAGAGAGAGGTCCACGTTCAAATCCTGGCTGAGGTGATATTTTTTCGCAATAAATTTAGAATAAAATATTTAGACACTAACACCCTGCCACGGCTCTTCGTCCTTTATTCCTTCACATATATATTATTAAATATTAAAAAATTTTAACTGATAAAACTTATATCTTAAACAATATTTTAGATAAAAATGAAATATGTGAGAAATTATGTTTTAAATAAATAGTCTGATTATAAATATAAAAATAAAAAATTTTATTGCAAATTTCTATAAAATTTTTGTTTTATATATTTATAATTCTGTATGTTTCGATCTGTCTGCAAATGGCAAGACTTTGTCTACTTCCGCAAACCAATCGTTGTACACAGCTTTAGGATCAACTAACCAGAATCTGTGAAATGATATCGGTTCTTGGGATGCCAAATACGCGTTAGGATAGTCTATAGGTTGTGCCTGAAACAGTTATTAAATATATGGTTTAATATCATTTTATTAAAGTAATAATCATTAGACGTTAAACACTACTAGGATTATATCGTTTTTAATTATAGATCGTATATACATGTATCTTTCAATATTTCATATGTTTGTATACGTTAGTTCAATGTCCGATATAAATGATAACAAAAAATTATTACGCATACCTGATGGAACATTGAAGAATGCACTCCTTCTACTCCAAGTCGCGACAAACAAAGTCCAAAGAGGTGCATGTCATCGGGAGTACTCGCGGATGGGCAAGTACACGCGCCCGGTTCTACCATTAAGTGAACCAAGGGAGCTGATAATATGACACCTGCACCACCAGTTAAATACTGATAGCCATAATCGTTGTTCCACATACGAAACCCATAACGTTCGCCGATCGCGACCGAGTGCTTAGGATTGTAGCACGTGAGCAGGTTTAACAAACGTACCACACTGTAATAAATTGAAGTACACTTCAACTTTTTAATATCTTTTAAAAACGAAGATTACGAGCTGTCTACACAGCCTTTACAAATTTTTGGCAACTTTTAAATAAGGATCTTTAATATATTATAGTTACATTCACCTGAATATAGTGTCATCATCGACAACGGCGAGCCAATCGAAATTACGTTTCTTTAGTATTTTGCTGGCTTTTTGCAAGATACCATAGGTCTTGGCACAATGTCCTGTAGTGGTATTCGGGACGACGTATGCCTCTCGTAAATTTTTGTCTAGATAGTAAAAACAATTGAGCAACTTGCGAAGACTGTAAGTATATCAAAATATATGTAATTTGATTGACAAGGCATACCGGCTACGTCACTGAAATATCCGATGTTCAAATCGTACTTTGCCCATGTCTTTTTAATCACCGGGATTCTGTCCAAGTGATATTTGGCGCAAGTCTTAACGGCGAAATAAATGTTTTTCGGAGCTACGGAAGAACTCTGCAAATTAAGAATATTTATATCGACGCAGTTGAAGAATAGAATATATTGTTCTAACTTGTTAAAATTATTCTCGTTGATTAGTAAGTCATATCGTGTGTGACATACACAAGAATGGAAGAATCGGGGATACGTGGCACAATCGGAGGCGGACACAATGCACAGTTTAGACATATGACTCAGCTTCACGGCAGTGCTATTTAACACAAAGGCCGCGAATTCGTACGCTACGTCGATAGAAAAATCTGTCTTCAGTTCCTTGCCCTCGGAGACTTGTTTGGCCAAGCTAAAAAATTACATTCTTAACCCAAATAGCCAGTGTGCAGTGTATGGAAATAAAATGCCAGCAACTGATAGCTCTTTGCTAGGAATATGAATTCACCGTTTGAATGATTAAATACAGCTAGCGTAATGTTAGCATATTGTTGTAATTAAGTGCAAAGCTACAGAGCGAACATTTCAGATATCCAATGCTAGCAAACAACAGCACAATAGACGAAATAGACGCATAGAGCAGGACGCTAACAGTTTTATTAGCAATATGAAAGCAACTTGCGCTCACGCTGGCCACTTGGGTAACTTTTGAACAAAAGTAACGAAACGAGGACAAATCGTGACTATACGTTTAGACAATTGCATTTTGTCAAGTTTTGAATTTTTATATCCTATTTTACGTCTTCAGTTATTCCTTCGAAGCTGTTTACGTTACGACTCGTATAATGGTGATTATTTAACATGAAAAGAAAATATACCTCTTTAATAGCGTAATACTCATGGCAAACCCAGACGGCATGTGTGGATACCTAAATCTTTTGGTACGATGCGCAAAGTGATGAATAATGGTAGGCTCATGATCATAAAGCGTGTGTCCGACCCATACGTTCTGCACAAACGAATTACTTGGAATACAAATTGTCCTTTGTCAAAAGCTCTTGGCGGCAAGAACGCGATTCACCTGCGACGAGCTAAACTTTCCAAGAACATTCAGTAGCTTCTCCAGCCGAATCACGGTATTTTCTAAACAAAAGAAGAACCATTCCACGTCCGGAAATTCATTGGACAAGTGAGTCAGCAGCGGGATTATCGTCCAGGAACCTTTGATGTCGAGCTCGTGGGACAGCACGACGTGTGGCAATTCCTAGAACATACAGACAACTTATCTGGCGACAAGGACAAGATAGACGTAGTCGCCTACTTCCCAGTGAACACCGCGCGACTCTAATAGTTACATAACATTAATAATATTACTTTAATATTAACAAATAACATCAGTAATGTCCTACTCGACAACAGAGATATAATACAAAACATGTCATGCACAGCAGTTACACATTGTTGAGGAAACTTTACGGAAAATTGTAATGTTGACGTTACTGCGGTTTATCCAACGAATGAAATTAGCATTGTACCTCGTGAAAGCTCAAGGCCCGGTCTGCAATGAGTTGTCAGTCGCTAGTCAGAAATCGTAACTACATGCTGATCCTTTTCTGGGTGGAAGAAAAGGGAGCGACACACAGTTCTGACTCGTTGTAGACCAGGCGTAATGGAACTAAACGCGAAGGATGCAATTTGTAGCGACCAAACGTACCCCTTCAAGAGCGCCGGCCTGCTCGTAGATGCTCTTCCTCAAGTAATCAGCGTGGGCCGCGTTGTAGCCCTCCTTTTGACTCAGTATTATTATCGTCACCTTGCCGGGCTCTAAAAAAAAACATTCCGATTGAGTCCTTTTTCGCGCAATTAAATCTCGAGTGTACAGAAGAAAAGAGAACAAGAAGAAGGATGAAGATTCTCAGAACAGGCGAGAGTCCGAAAGTACATCTCTAGTGAAGTTTCCCGGGTGAAAGGTGTCCGGGATAAATACCCAGCGTGTCTACGCTCGCGGCGAGCGAAACGCAGGCGGCGAGGAGCGCGAGATACGTCGGCAATTCCATTTTTATCGAGACGGCGTTGCAAGTCCGTAACGGAAGGTCCGTGTACGTTCCTCCTTTTCGTCTCGAATCGGCCCCACCTACTATCAATCGTCGCTCGACGACCGCGCGCCGTCGATCGTCATCAGCTGTTCGCTGTTAAACCCCGCGAAAAAGCCGGCCGATATCCTTCCCCGCCCCTCCTCAGGATTGGTAGAAGCCGCAGGTGGGCGCCAATCAGAGCCCGCGGTGACGCGTGCCGTCTCCTCGACCTTGCGTTCCTTTCACTCTGACCGAGAAGGGAGTGAAGGGACACGTATCGCACGTATAGTCGTGCACGGTGGATGCGTCGTGGTCCGCGTTGGTGATGAACAGAACAGTCGAGACGCTCTTTTTTTAGTGAGTTTAGGAACGTGAATTTGGATTCAGGCCCACGTTTCCTCCGAGGGAACGTTTGCTCGAGAAGTGGATCGAAAACGCTGAAAAGTGGACTCGCAGCGGGCCATCGAGTAAAATGTTGCTCGAAGAAGATTTTGGGACGTGACCTGGGAAGAAAAAGTTGTCGCGACCATCACTGTATGTACGTAGGAATCCCGGGAGATCGAGGCCTCGGAAGAGAGGCTCTTCCGGTGCCTGGTGTACTTGAATCGAAGTCGAACTGGCGGACGAGGAGGACCGCGTGCCTGAAAGGACACGATTTGCAAACAAGCTGAGAGAGCTCGGGGTTAGACTAGGTGGATGCCGATAGAATGCGTAGGCGTTCGTACACGCGCGACTTCTTATCAGTCGTCATGAGTGTCTCGAGCGAGTGGCAGGCGCGCGCCAGAAGGAGCTGAGGTAATCGGCGCGGCGCTCTTGATCTTTCACGTTTCGTTCGCGCGACCACCTCTTTTCCTTTTTCCCCCCCGCATTTGCTCCGTAAAAAGCCCACACCGTGTGCTCCCGTTGCAGATGCATATGTCGTACTGGTTCGGCGTGGATGTGGGCAGTTTCCTGTTTTCAGGATACAACGTCACCACGGTATGGGGTCTGGTGGCGACGTGCCTGGGTCTGGCTGCCCTCGCGGTGCTGTACGAGGCCATGAAGGTCTCGCAGATCTACCTGCAGCCGTCTGCCATCAGACCCATGTCTAGGACGACGTCGGCCACGTCGGAGAGCTCGTCCCTCCTATCTAAAATGAGACCAAAGAACCTGAGGACTCACACAAAGTGGTACGTTGTTGTTTTCTTATCTCCCCGCGGCGATAAGCCGCATGTACGCGGCTTCTGAGTCGCTTGTGTAATTGATTTAATTGGTATTTAATACGTCGAACAATAGCTGCAGTATTTTTGTCTCAATGCGAATGGAACTTTTCGTTCAGCGTGTGGAAAAGGAGGGACGACAAATTATCTAAGGATTCTGCTGATTAGTAGGAGCTTGGAGGAAGAGTCTTTGTTATTTAAAATTTATGTGCATTGTTATAGCGAGTGCGGTTGCTTGCACTAGTGCGCACTGAGGGCACACAAAGGCTCGTTTATTTGTCAATTCTTTTATTTAAGGATCTTAAGGTTCTCTTGAAATATGTTTGAGCCAGTAAAATGATCTGTATAGCATCCGTACGGGTCATTTTTTGCCTAAATGCTCTTTGAACGTGTATTTACGACAAAGTTAAATATAGGAATTGACTCGGCGCGCACGAAACAAGCAATCGAATTCGCTATTAGATTTGTTCTTTGCGGCAAAGTTTTGTGCCCTTTTCACGTTTCCCCTTTTTCTCTTCAACATCTAATTATACAGGGTGTCTCATTTTACATGATACACGCAAATATCTCCAAAAATATGAACGCGGAAAAACAAAAGTTGTTTGGTTCGAAGGAGGACATAAGGTGGTGCCATTGACTTGACTTTGGACAGTCATTTGAAGATCACGCAAAGGTCACCTTCAATTTTTTCAAATGGAACCCCGTATTATTTATTATACTGTCTTATTCTACTAATTAATATGACTTTTGTCCGAAACACTTTTTTATTTGCCTAATACTTTGGGATACTCAAGAGAAAATTTATAACTTTTTCCATGTTTAACCGAGGGGGAAACCGCTGAGGGCATTGTGGTGTACAGATTTGCGACATTACTGGATATTAGGCTGGAGACTAAGCCATTTTTGGGGCATTATAAAGATATAATAAGATCATGAGATAAAGTAATGCCCACTGGGCATTAGTGGGCATTGGTGTACAAGATTTTGGTCAGCTGTTTCCCCCTCGTGTTTAGCTTATGATATCTCGACCACTGTTTGTCGGAGGAAAAAGTAATACAGGACTTTTTTTTACTTGATTTGGTCTCAGGAATATGCTGTTGCAATTATTGAAAATTTTTGTGTATTGTAACATACACGAAAACTTTTGTACGTATCTTATATAAATAAAGTGCAGTGTGCGTTGTAACAATAATAGTATTTTAATAATTACGAAATTAATCATGTATTATCATCGCTACTCGCGAGTTTAGTTATTATTTTAAACAGTACACTTGTTTTCGAGCAGCAGCTAAGCGTTTTCAAGCCGATGTTAAATGTGTTTTCTCAGTGGAAGCTGCTCGAGTTGGACGTTGCAAACGTTGCACTGGTCGCTTCACACTGCGCTGGGTTACATCCTGATGATGGCTGTTATGACATACAATGCATACTTCACCATTGCCCTCGCCATCGGAGCATGCCTTGGATACTTCATATTCGGGCATACTCTCGTACAATTAAATATGCAGCGTTTTTACCGCAAGCAGACAATTGTGGAATGTGATAAGAATTGCGAAGGTAATGCAACTCTATGTTAGCCTAAGGCAAGAGGGTGACTACTTTGATCATGTTTTTTGTAATCGCTCCTAGATACTGTCTCGAATCAACAGAGACGCGAATCCGCTGTCTCTATCGTTGCTGAGCAATTAGTCATCGAAGCAAACATCGAAGTTCACGTACCGAGAGATACGTGAGTTTTGTCGCCAAACCGTGCAGGTGGAAAGTCTGACATTATCTAGGATAGTTGTTACTGTTATGTTATATAATTACATATTTGTACGCATACGTAGCACATTTTTATACAGATGTTTTATTATAAATTAGAAAAATACAAATAAATTTATTATATTGTCTATTTACAACTAACGTAGGATTCTCTTGTTATAGGTTTTTATATACCAGACACAATATTTTCTTACAATGGTTACAAAAATATCTTACAAATATGGTAATTATTATAATGTTAACCGTTAATACTTGTGATAATTAGAATATTTTTATAAAATAAAATATTTAAGAAACTTGTTAGAGCACAAAGAGTAAAAAAGTGACACGATACAGGTCCTAGAAAATGCAATCAATAATTGATGACTTCTTTTTCATGTTGCAAAAAATATACAAAAATAAAGATCAATGATGATTTCAGTTCAAGATCTTAATTACGATACTTAATAAGGATCTTATTTGTCTCTGGCCATTATATGATAGACATTTAAAAATTGAATTGCTCAAATAATTCTTCTATATTATCCTCATAATCCATAACGTTCTGCATGCCTTCGAACAAAAGGCCAAAACACGGACTGTCGGCACTGTTGAAGTGCTCGTATCCGTATATCTGCTTGTTACACAGCCAGCAAAAGAAAGCTTGGCAATGTGCACATGTCATTTTGTTGCAACCGTCAGTCTTGCTAATGAAAGAATGGCACTTCGGGCAACTTTTCGCGTTGTCCTAAACAAAGTTATATACTCATCATTACGAATACTCTTATCGTAGTCTTATTGTTTAATATCAACTCGTTAATTCTTGCCAATCGTTTCTCAACTTTCGCACTATTTTCGTGTAAAGTCGAATCTCGCATATTTAATATACCTACTTTCAGATACTCGGTTGTAAGACACCTTTCGACTATTTGCATTTGCCGCTTGCCATATTTCTTCTCCAGCATCTTCTTCTCCTTGTCGTTGCTGTTTTTGTACTTTTCAGTGAGCTCCGCAATATAGGCCGATGTCATCTCGCATGACTCTTGTCCATGGTACGACTATTTGAATTAACAAGTACACATAGGAGTTTGATACGTAGAATATGTCGATACACGGAGAGAAATTTTGGTCACAAAGTAAGTACCAAACGAAAGGTCTTGTCAGCTGATTACAGATATGTCAATCTCAGAGTTTATCTATTTAACATTGGAGAGTTGGAGTCAACTATAAAGGTTTCCCAAGGGGTTCCCAAAAATCACTTAATCTACCTAAAACTTACTTAAGTTCATAGAAAATGCAGGACGATGTCATTAGCATCGACCATTGGGAAATCTTTTAGTAAACTCCAACTCGGTTTTGGAATTTCTGGAGTTTGATATCTTTGGATCGTTAAGTAGGTACACTGAGACTGATATATCTGCGATTATTTTGACGAGACCTTTCATTTGGTACCTGCTTTGTGACCAAAATCGAATGCGAAAAAAAAGGGGCCGACCTTGTTCTCACTCTTTATCCTGAAAATCATGTAATCGTGGGACAACACGGTATTTCGAAGAACTTTGAGTTTTTTGAAATTTTATACCATACATTTTACTAGTAGAACGTATGGTAAGATTAAAAAAAAATTCTCTCCGTGTAATAGATACATATATGTTTGTATATATACGTATATATCGTGTTCGCTCAAATATTGAATTGAATATGCGTCTTACCTGACGGCAAAAGACGCAGAAGCAGTAGTTGCATACGGGACAAATCGGTGCGTCATCGTTCGGGTTTCTAATAACCGGATATTGACATGAAATTCGTGGACAATACACTATGTCTTCCATAGTGTTTAATGTCACTCGTAACATGATCTGCTCGTATTTGTGAAACAAATCTGGACAGAGAGTCTTGACGTCGTCATCGCTTATCTTGCGCCTACAATCTGTCGTCGGGCACAATATAGCATTGTTGGAGTCGCCAATACTGATGGCCACATACTTCTCCATACAATTTTTGCAGTATACGTGCTCACAGATTTCCAGTTCTATACAGTTCTGTCCTAAGCATTCCTCGAAGCATATGTGGCAGGTATAAACGTTCTTGCGAAATTGCACCTTATGTTGCTTCTTGTCGTAAGTTATTAACAATCTTTTCACATCAAATGACAATGCACCGTTCTGAGCTCTGGGATCGGACAATTGGACTAGGCGTGACAAGACGATATTTTGTGACTTGTAAATTAAATGCAAGAAGGAAACGTCTAAGGATTCTTCTATTTTTAGAAAGTCAAAAATGTCATTTTGTAGAAAACTTAGCCACAGAAAGATGATCTCGTTGCCCTGGTTCTCTCTCCACATCTCGTCAAATCTCTGACAAATGAAAGATATCTCCCAAGGCGTCAACCATGTTATGGAAAGGCAGAAATCCGGAGGTGTTTCGGATGGATATGTATTAGGGAGGTACATGTACATTTTGATTGGCGGCAAGTGCTCAACAAAGATATCGTCGGCAACAGCTTCCTCCCCATCGGGACAATTGTCAGTGAACTTTAATTTCAGTTTTCTACAACAATTTGGAGATATGCTGATCGAGCATTTTATGCATTCGCTTTTCGTGTAAAAGAACTCTGTCTCGTCGAAGATACTGGAAAGGATAGCCACTTCGTCCTCCTGTCGTTGCAGATTGTTCGCAATCTCATAAGACATCTTTGGTATCTATAATAGATGAGTGTGAGTTTACTATGACCCATGTTATAATAATGTAGTTGAACTGAGTATCAAAGGGTATTCATGTACATGCAGAGAAAGCAACAAACCTCTTAAAGACAGTTACTGGAATTGTAGATTTTATATTCCTATTGAACCTGCAATATGAAAAGACAAATGTAAGAAAAAATGTGCTCCATATACTTATATCTGTTGATACATAAATTATAAATAAAACTGTAAATAACATTATAAATAGGAAATTAATTTTGAAGAGAAAGAAAATTATATTATTACAAAAATTACGATTAAAAATATGTAATATGTATGTGTACATAGAATTCTAATATCACAGACAACGGGAAACTCTCGTAATTATTTCGAAATAAAAAGTCTGATATTAAAGCACAGTAATAAAGAACGTTATTCATTTGATGTTCAACGCAACAATTAATCAGCGTATACGTACGAAGAAAAGGAAAAATCAATTGGGTCATTATTTAAAATAAAATTGAAGGTTGAGGTCGTCTTTATTACTGTGCAATGTATTGATATATGTAATATAATTAAATACTACAATGTAAAAAATGCTGTTAAAATTGATATTTATAAAGGTATCGAAGTAAATAAAAATGTATGTTATACAACTTGATAAAAATGGAGCGAACAAGAATCAGAAACCACGTTTGTGCCTTCGTTGCGAGCAATTTTTAATTCATACATTTTTTTCCCCCGAATCAAAACACACCGCCACGTTTTCGATATCGAAACCCTCGTATTTTTATTTCACATTTAGAACGGAATAAAAAGATTAGAAAAGGGTTAGACAATGAAATAATTAAAAATTTTGCAGTTAGCAAATCTGCCGGTTAAATTAATTGCTATAGTTAAGTTGATCGGAGTTCGATCGGAAAAAGTAGCCGGTCAAATTGATGGAAGTGACTTTTCACACAAAGGCCCGGTGATAAGAAATAGCGCTGAAAATATCTAGAATCTTTGTATAAGTCCTTATCATTATATTGACGAGAATTTAAACGTGGAGCAACAAGAGATAACTTGGAGCGATTCAATTACTACAAAGAAATGAATTGTAATTTATTCCAGAAATACTATTCTGTGTACTTGAATGATAATAAGGCGTAGGTCGTAAAGGTCATCACAAGGGAGCATCACATGTCGATTGTTAAAGCGCATAATTTACATTATACAGGGTGTTATGTAATACCCGCATCAACGCTTATTATGGGATAGAGTGGACTAGACTAAGTCGAAAAGTCCTGTACCACTTTGCAGGTTTTGCAATAGTTAACGAGTTATTAATTATTAAAAATCGCTGTCTTAGGCCGGCCCACTGCCCAATTCAACGTTGAATTGGGCAGTGTGTACGAAAACAATTTCTCTTTAGCCGCGATATTCATAGTCAGGTGTTATATTTAAGACCGATATCTTAAGTTTATCTGTCGCTGTTATCTGTCGCTGTTATCAGTCGCTGCGTGAATCGTTTCAGTGACTACGAGATAGCTTAAGATGATCTTAAATAAGATCTGACTATGGCTGCGTTTCGATATTCGCTATAACTGAAGATCTATGGTGTACGCAACGTTAAGCACAGATTTTCAGCACTGACCGGAACACAGCCTACAAAAACTGCTTCGATCGAGTTCGTATTAAGCGTATTAAGCCAGTGGCACATGATACTTTTTGCCGCTTGCACCCGCGACAGCCAATTGGCTCTGCTATGTGACCTAAGGCTGCATCTTGACCCATACAGCACAGAAAGTTAAAATAATGTTGCTGAAACGTTGCAATGTTGAATATTGAAGTATATATGTCTTTTCTACGTTGAATCTTGGTTAATGTTTGTACATTAATTCTTTATATTGCTGCAACGTTAAAACAATCTTGAACAAATTATTATTTTTTGACACTCAAATAGATACTTAAAAATGCATAATTATGAAATGTATGTGTATATATATATATTTTTTGCAACGGTTAGAAATTTTCTGAACTAAGATTGGATTATTATTTTAGTGGAACAATTCAATTTCAGTACTTCCAGCAGTTGTAAAATTAATCTGCACTACCAATGCAGATTAATTTTAATCTCGGTCTTTAAATTATAGTATTTTTCTACACGATTCAATGCTCGATGCTCGTTGGTTTAATTAAACGGTTCTTATGCTATGCATGTGCAGCTATGCAATTTTGTGTGCAATGGCCCAATTTCTTTATCCGTATGCTTATGCACCTGTGCAGGTTCGTCTGGATAGACGAACCTTTAGGCCTGTATCCACGATGCTAAAAACTTGGTCAAAGTTCGAGCATCGTGGACGCAGACCTTAAGTCCCAGTCTACAATAGATGATTTAAGCCCTAAGCTTTAAGAAATTGGCCAATCACGGTCAAGTATGAGAAGAATGCGCGACTGTGAGTCCCAGTCTACAATAGATGATTTAAGCCCTAAGCTTAAGTCCCAGTCTACAATAGATGATTTAAGCCCTAAGCTTTAAGAAATTAGCCAATCACGGTCAAGTATGAGTAGAATGCGCGACTGTGATTAGTCAATTTCTTAAGGCTTAGGGCTTAAATCTCTATTGTAGACTGGGACTTAAGAAATTGGCCAATCACGGTCAAGTATGAGTAGAATGCGCGACTGTGATTAGTCAATTTCTTAAGTCCCAGTCTACAATAGATGATTTAAGCCCTAAGCTTTAAGAAATTGGCCAATCACGGTCAAGTATGAGAAGAATGCGCGACTGTGATTAGTCAATTTCTTAAGGCTTAGGGCTTAAATCTCTATTGTAGACTGGGACTAAGGCTTAGGGCTTAAATCTCTATTGTAGACTGGGACTTAAGCCTTGTGTCCACGATCCAAGAACTTGGTTCAAGTTCTAGTTTCGAGAAATGTGTAGCCAATCAACCTGCAGCTATTCCATAAAAGCTGCAAGGTGATTGGCTACGCATTTCTCGGAACTAGAACTTGGACACAGTTCTTGGATCGTGGACACAAGGCTTAAGACGAGAGAAATGCGGGGAAATGCAGAGATGCTGTTGGTAACACTGAAGATCAATTATTTTAACCGGAGTTTGGTTGAAGTGGCCCTGAGTGTGGGCGTCCCATGGAGCGGAACACGCGGAAGCGGAATCAGCGGATCGCCAATCGCAAGATCATTCTGATAGAGCCCTTTCAAAAATTCTTTCGAAACGGTCTTGTGATGAGCGATCCGCTGATTCCACTTCCGCGTATTCCGTTCCATGGGACGTCGCCCTGAGCCTTTAGTTGTGCTGTTTTTCGTAAAGGTGCAACGGACATGCTTGCGTTCGTTTTCTCTTGTTGAAAAAATTCATTAAGGTCCAGTTTCACAAACGTCGGTTAACTGTTAACCAGAGTTCAGTCGTCTTCTTATATCTTTCTCTCTTGTTATCCAAGAAGAGACAGAGGATCAATTAACCATGGGTTAGCGGTTAAACGATGTTTGTGAAACTGGCCCTTAAAGCCTTGTGTCCACGATGCTAGAACCTGGTCCAAGTTTTAGTTCCGAGAAATGTGTAGCCAATCAAGTTGCAGCTATTCCATAAAAGCTGCAAGTCGATTGGCTACACATTTCTCGAAACTAGAACTTGGACCAAGTCCTAGCATCGTGGACACAGGCCTTTAGGCCCGGTTTCACCAACGCGAGTTAAGCCCGCTGCAGACTATTTTTCCTGCTGGATTGCTTGCAATTTAGTAAATTACTAGGAATCCTGAATGCTGAGTGGTGCAATGATAGTAATTTACTAAATCGCAAGCAATCCAGCAGGAAAAATAGCATCGTCTGCAGCGGGCTTTAACCTAATCGGTCAGTTAACTTTCAGGGTGACAACAGCCGAACATAAAACTGATACCAAGAAAATAGGTTAATAAAGATCAGTTTTATGTTCGGCTGTTGGCACCCTGAAAGTTAACCGACCGATTAGATTAACTCGCGTTGGTGAAACCGGGCCCTATAGTCCACGTCAAGTACAGTACATATTTAATCTACAGTGCACGTGACGGAAACTATAGATTTATTTTATCAGTGGTGGAGAGAGGGGGAGGGGGAGACAATCTACGCGTCGTCTTTTGACTCATGCAACTCATTGCCACTGTACGTCTGTACTGTTATCTGGAGCCTCCAGTTTTCTCTCGAAATTATGCTTTACATTTTACAAAATACAGCCAAATGTCAAGTTTTTCGAAAAATTGCGGCGTACCAGCTCAGCAACGCGTAACGGAAAACACGTGGCGATAACGTTAATTTAATATTATGTTACAGTCAGTAATAATTACTTAGCGATGTCGCGCGATGTTTTTATCCTGTAAGTTAAATCCTACCATGCGTCGGAAGAGTTAACGTAACATGTAATCGTGACACGATCATGTTTACAACGCGATACTTACATTACCAAAGTGTGTGATATTTCTATTTACTGAAGAGAGAAATGTTGATCGAGCAGCAAACGATCCTACGTCGCACCCGAAAACGACTGAAAAAAAGTCTCGAAATCGGGAGTCTGTTTCCGCCCCAGGAAGACTAGAGACTATACTTGCGTTCGTTTTCTCCCACTGGGAGCATAAACTATACTGAATCTCTATAGTTTACGTTACGTAAATTATAGACTTTCAGTATAGTTTATGCTCCCGGTGGGAGAAAACGAACGCAGGCCCGGATTCAGTGGTAGGGGACTGTGGTAGGGGTAGGGCCGGATAGGCTAAAAAGTGGTTGCATTTCATGGGCACTGTTCGCAGTATGGTCGAACGGCAAATTTATGAACTACGCGTGCTGGACTTCGAAGCGTCGTACATACAACATACTTTTATTCGGACCATAGACATATATATATATATACATATATATATAGACCCAGCGTTCTGTGAGTCCTCATTCACATGGAGCGTAACTTGCGTAGCGTAACCTGCGTATCACCAATCACAGGGTCATTCTGATAGAACCGTTTCAATAATTCCGTTGAACTAGTCCTGTGATTGGTGATACGCAGGTTACGCTACGCAAGTTACGCTCCATTCAGATTTTACAACGGTAGCGAAGCAGCTTCTTCCGCTGAGCGTGGCCAGCGTTCAGAAAACACCACCGCTCTCGCCGAGTTGCCACGTGCTACTCGTGGCGGGAAAACGCACGTCGTCGCTGTTGTATGTGCACGCGTGCTCGCGTCGAATGGTTAAATTGATAGATATCGGAAAAGAGGAATTAATGAGCACGGCGGAACGATCCATACTTCAGTATTTGCCCTCGGAATTTCGAGCTTGAACGAACCTCGCTACGCGAGCTGCTAGAGCTGCCGACTTGAAGTGCGGACAGGTTAAATCCACGGGTTTTCGCACGACAATAATGCAAGTGACGGGCTCTCGAGAGGAGTCTTCAAGTATTCCACGTGATTTTCTTACCGAACTTTGAGGTTCTCGATCGGCGAGTGCTCGATCTTCACGTTCACGCCAAATGATCTTCAGAAAAACGATCTTCGAAACGCGGTCCCGTTTGGACGCATTTTGATAACAGTTCAACTCTCTCTCTCTCTCTCTCTACCTCTCCATCTGTCTCTCTCTGTCTCTCTCTGTCTCTTTCTTTTCTCCCCGGTCTCAAAGCAACACGTAGCTGCTCCTCGTGCATGCGACTCGAACTTTGACTTTTGTAACATGATAAAAACAACTCTGTTACTTTATCGTTTCTTGTACGATTACGTAAGTGGATCTCAATGTTTAGTTTGTTAAGAAGAATGCTGCAGAGCGGATGCCGTTCCGTCCACAATGGGACCTACGAGGTAAGCGCGATCGGCCATCGCCGCCAACTGCGTCATTTCACAATTTTCTATCGTCTCTTCACTCTATTCATCGAGAAGTTGCCCGAATATCCTCGCTTTGGTACTTGTATTATTTGATTTTACTAAAGTTAATTTCCAACATTCGATTTGCATCATTTAAAATTAGCAACTCGGGCGCGTGTTTGTTGCCGCACTACGTCGCAGCGGAATATATTACGATTAAAGAATTTCTTTAGGAAAAGAACAAGTTGTAGTCTCAGGTCGGATAAATAATATGACACGTGTAAATAAAAGGTCTACATGCAAATGCGATATGTACACACGTTGTCTCTCTTGCAGGAAGCCATAAAAATGTTGAACAACAATCTACAAAGCAACGCCGCTTATCTGCGATCCGTCGATGATCTTGCGAAAAGGAAGCACGACCCGAATGATTCCACGAAATTAAAGGAGACTGAAAAATATTTAATTCGGTAACCGAGTGATCAGTATTTCAATGTTGAAATGGAATTGGAATTTTTTCAAGTAGACCACTTCGCTTGTGCCTCTTTGAAATTCACGCGTTTAATTTAATTAATTGCTGCAAAAGTGAGATACAGCGAAGTGAAGTGTTTCTCTTCTCTATTAAGAGACGCTGCTTCAAAGTATTAGATGCGACTTTCCAAGTTTGATTCTCGACGCTGTAATTTCGAGAACTCAGTCCACCTTCAAATCTGTCGTAGGTCTGGCATCGATTTGGACTTGCTGGACACTCTGTCCATCATCCATGTCGCTGGTACCAAGGGTAAGGGTACAACGTGTGCGTTTGCGGAGGCGATTCTGCGACAGCACGGCTTCACCACGGGTTTCTACAGCTCGCCGCACCTAGTCTCTGTGCGGGAGCGCATTCAGATAAATGGCGAACCCATCAGCAAGGAGCACTTCGCTGGCTGCTTCTGGACTGTCTACCGACGTCTGGAGGAAGCACGGGAGTCCGAGTCTGACATGCCGATGTACTACAAGTTCCTGACGATTCTCATGTTCCACGTGTTTCTGGAGGCGAATGTTGACGTAGCCATCATCGAGGTGGGAATCGGTGGCGAACTGGATTGCACCAATATCGTGCGGAATCCGGTTTGCGTGGGTATAACGAGGCTGAGTCTGGAGCATACTAGTTTACTGGGCAACACTCTGCCGGAGATCGCTTATCAGAAGTCGGGGATCTTCAAGCCGAATGCGCTGGCTTTCACGGTGCCGCAACTGCAGTCGGCGATGCGCGTTCTGCAGGAACGAGCCGTGGAAAGGAAGTGCCGCAACCTGGAAGTGGTTTCGGCCCAAAATTGCACATTGGTACCCAATGCCATCGAAATAGCTCTGGCGCTTAAATACGGCGTGCTGTATCAAAATGCTTTGCTGGCGATCAGTCTGGCATTCGAGTGGATGAAAGCGCGTCGCGACGAGTCCGTTGCGCAATTTTATTACACCGAGAACTTTTACGATTTTCAAAGCGATGTCGACGCATCGCAGATAATTTCATTAGATAACGTCATGACAGCGTTGACGGACTGCAAATGGCCTGGCCGCACGCAAATTCTCAAGACCAGTGTCGCGGATTTCTTTCTGGACGGTGCTCACACGTACGAGAGTATCGTCAATTGTGTATCGTGGTTTAAAAGAAACAGCCAGGAAGCATCCAATAAGTTCTTGATATTTCACACCAGCGGCACCCGGAATTCCCTGCCATTCTTAAACCTACTGAAACCCCTGAACTTCGATAGAGCTTATTTCACTCCAAATTACGCCGGCGTGGTCAGCGTGGAGGATTTATCGAGTCACATAGTAATCGATGAAGAGACAAGTAAATGCAGAAAGCACAGCGCGTTCTGGGGCAATAGTTCAGTAGTGAAGAATAACGTTGCCGAGGTGATCAGCGACATTAAAGAGCATGTATCGTCGCGAGGGGACAGTCACGATAAGATAGAGATTCTTGTAACAGGATCCTTACATTTGGTTGGCGCGTTACTGACTATCCTGGACCCTGGCTTAACAATGCGCAGTGATTTTTAATGTAATATAAAATAGGCATAAAATTTGACTTGTTAAGATGCTCGCGTCGATGTCGATGTCGATATATCGCTACGCTTCTGCTTGATGCGAGACATTACCGCATCTTTTGACACATGTACGAGAATATGACAGGACAGTGGAATAGTAAAAAATGATTTTTTTTTAGAAATCGTAGAATTATATTTAACATAATATTAATAGTAACAATCATATTAATTACTTATAATGTTAAAGCGACACGTATCGCATCGTGTGATAATTTCAGAGCGACGTTCCATGGTTATATATTTGCAACAATTGCTTTTGTACTTCAATATAGGTCAATCGCTCGCAGTGCACTCGAGTAAGTTGTTGGCAAGAAAATTACGTTGACTTCATTTTACTGAGCGAGTAATATGCAGATACGATATCGCGCGCGCGCGGATAATTGTAAATAAGTATTCAAAAAATCTTTGGATGGTAGTCTAGTTCCGACTCTGCCTCGGTATCGGATAGACTAAGTGAAACGCCAGTTCTTCGTCTCAGGCGATTATCCTCAGGGCTCTAGAATAAAATAAAACAGTTATAACTATACATTATCATTATATAAAAAGGAATTTAATAAAAACGTTTTATATTTTATAATAAGTGATAGGTAAATATTTTAATCTTATAATTTGCTTAATCAAAATTTAAGTTCAATTTTTCGTGTAATTTGTTATATCGATATGCAGGGCGAGTTTTGAAATTAAAATGGGCTACAATCTTTTCTAAGTGATAAGTGAAAATAGAAAAAAAATATGTATAGTATACATATAGCATACTGTTCCTACTTATTCAGTAAAATTAAGTAGGTAAGTGAGAAAGATTTCGAGTGTGGGCCTGGATAGCTCAGGATGCTTTCCAGCAAGAGACACAGAATGACACGGTGCAATACAGATAATTATTTTATCCTCGTTTAATAATGGCAAACAACAAAGATAAAACGATTCACTGTGTTACGCAGTGTCGCCTGTGTACGTTGCTGGAAAGTGGAAGAGCGTTCGCCCGGCAAGCAGGAAGGTCCCAAGTTCGAATCCTGGTCTTCTAGTCCTAGCCAGTTACTTTTCTTGCCGAAAATTAATAAGCGGCGCGTCTTTGTGCCTACCTCCTTACACCCCTATTTATTACTATGGACAATATGGTACACAGATATGATAAATATTAACTAATAAATATTGTATCGTACAAAGCAGCATGGATTAAACCATCCTCTTCGAGTCTACCATATTGCGTTATACATATGTATACACGCAATTAAATGAAGTTGGGACAATGGCTAGATTAAATCTATAGATAGTATGTACTAAAGTATGATTTAGTCTAGCCATTGGTATAACTACATTAAATTGCATATGCATGTCTAACATTTATTCAATCAATGGGCACGTTAATTTTTTTTTAATCGCATATTCGATGCCGTCGAGAGATCACTATGGTGAATCTTTAAAGAAAACGTGAGGTATATGTCTTCCCGATCAATTTTTAATATTCTTATACAAATATTCCGATTAATAAAATATAATATAATATAACTTGCCTGATCTAAAATACCGGCAGTGGGCTCGGACGCGTATCCTACTTCCTGCGCATCTTCCTCCAGGTCCGCCTCGAACTCCTCTAGCTCCTCGTCCGAATCTGAATCGTCGAGATCGATGTATCGGCTACCACGCGAAACTTTACACACCATCTGCGCGAGATCGGTGAAAGTGTACGAAGAGGGTGACTGTTGATTAGCTGCTTGGTATTTCGCTTGCATAGCTCTCGCGTTTTCTCGATCCGCGTTGAATCGAGGCAGAACTCCGGCTTTCGATTGCCCCTCGAAATACGTTTTCCCTGAGGAAACGCGATTCATTCCAATCTTATAAATGTGTTCAAGTATATATGTACGTTTCGTTACTTTCTAGTAAGAAATTCATATTGTATAACATATGCTTTACAATTTCTATTAGTTGATTTACAACGCAGAAATTTCTCACCGTGATGGTACCCCACATCCTTGATCTCGTCGAAATTGGCAAACTGGAGGGTCTTGTACCTGTCGATCGGCGGTCTGATGTACTCGCAATAATCCGAACTCTTCACCTCTTCTAGCTGACGTACGCAGCTCACGTACGCCAGTCTCGACTGGATGTCCGGTAGATTTGGCACCTTTACAGGTGTGGCGAATGGATTCCACCGCTTCCACAATAACCACCAGCCGGACAACGAGTCCCCGTAATTCGTCAAGTCTGTGTCGTCCTGTGAGCCGACGTCGATGGCCAGAATGTGATGTGCTCCTTGCCGCAGCATCTCGTCAGCTTGAACGGAAACGGGGAGAACGCATGAATCGAGAACGTTAGCATCAATTCGTTGTCTCTACTTTCTAAAAGGTTTAACTTGTTAAACGAAAAATTATGGAATTTACGTTGTATATTGTACTCTGTGATATTTTATTCACGGAATTGTATCTTTACTTTCTTTTATATAATTTATATTTATTTCTAGATTGATCTTATATCATGCTACATTCCTCGAAAAAATTTCAGGAATATACTGGTGTACTAAAACTATCAAGAGCCACGTTTGGGAGATTACAATCAGGATTAGACGTAAACGATAGAAAAGACGAATACCTGGCACGTTATTAACATAACACCCGTCGACCAAAAGATGCCCGTCAAGGGGATCGCAAATCGGAGGAAAGACCCCCGCGATAGTCATACTGCCGCGAATATATCTCCATAGCAAACCTGAGCGGACTTAACTATTCAGAATTCGATAAACTGCATCTTTTATCAACGGGAGTGAGCTTGATGTTTCTGAATAAATTGGTCTCGGTAACACCCGTAGATAAATCTTCGACATCGTGCCAAGGTAAATATGAAGTGATACAGAATTAAACTAAAATTAGATCAGCGCGATTGAATTTAAAAGAAGAACTAGTATTTTGCCGCAAAATAAATACAATCGATCTCTCTCACTTTCAGGCGAATTACTAAATTGCATAATTTATATAAACTTGGATTTATATAAATTCTTTACTATTAAGATCAAGCATATACGAATCCCTAGCGGTGCCTTCTAAATAAATTTCATATTATCTTGACACCATTATTAACGTTATGGTGTTTTCTTTTAGGTTCTGTTAATTGTGCGAAAAGTGCAACCGTTTTATCAGTGTGATCTGGGATTACCTGGAAGGTTATTGACGTACCCGCCGTCGAGCAGGAGATGGCCATCAACGGGGTCACACATGGGTGGCATATAACCAGACAATGACATCGAGGCCCGAATGTACCGCCACAGCGATCCTAAAGACGACGAATCATTCTCTTTAATATCCTGCATTTACCCGTGTATACATTATCCGAAGTACTTCCTGTATTCTTAAGTTTGTGTTAACTGTAACCAATCAGACTGTCCGTTTGTGTGCAAGTGCGTGTAACGAGGAAGACCAATCGTTAATCAAAATTAACTGATTGAAACTGCCATCAGCAGTGATGATTTAATTAAAAGAAATTTTAATGGCATTACGCGGTGAATCTTTAAATATTCCTAAATTACACAGCCATTTAAACGTTTCATTCGCGTTGAATGTTTTATCCTTTTTCATGTTTAGAAAAGTTGATAGCATATTGTGCTTTACATGTAAATTTTGAAGTAGTAGTTTTGGTAGGTTGAGCAAGTTCTTTTTTTGTCGATGTCACAAATTCAGTGATAAGCGTACAGGAAGTATATGCACATCAATTTACAAATTTTATACATTCGAGTGAAAAATAAAAATACGCCTCGTTCGGTTTTCTCTTTAAAAACGGCATTAAACGGAGAGTACGTCAACAATGGTTATCCGGAAAGCTCACTCCCGCTCGTTAAAGCTTCTACTATCATGCTAATGTGCATCTAAAACAAAAATCCTACATGCCACGACGCAGCTGTTAGTGTGAATCAATTAAGAAAGAACGATTTCTCGTACGTTTCCATTTTTTGATACAGACATCCAAAACCGATTGCCGAGGCAAGTAGTTTCAGACTTTATCTATGAAATGAAGCACATCTCTTACGCATTTACTTTTTGACTCACTCTGGGTGTATGCAAGTATTGTTAATAATGTATCAAAGCTTCTAGTTACATTCCTAGAAGATTCACTGCACTAAACTTGCAGGATCCTTGAAACCATGAAACAGTTTATCATACAAATAGCAATCGATTTATTATACAAATTTATATTTAATAATCATAAATACATGAATGGCGGAATGTATGAAAATTAAATCAAACTGGAAGCTTCAATAATTTAGCATGGAAAAAAATGCAAAGCACTATATTTGTACAGACCGTGTCTATGCGTGCGCATACAGGAGTCCGTGATGTCTGTGGTTATAGTGAAATACGGGAGCCACAAGTCCTCTATATGTGTGTCGCCGAAAGTCTGCTGTATTGTCTTGTTAAAATCTTTACCGGAGAACATCGAAGTCATCGGATAAGTCAAGTCCATGATCTGCCGCCACCACTGCGTCATTTTCTGCCAGCAGACACAATATTTTTACATACGGACATTTCTCGATTCAACGGTAAGGATTTCAAAGCGATTATTAAGACGCAAAAGCGAGGTAAATTTAATTGAGATCTCTCTATACTTCAGGGATTTGGGAAGAAAAATATAATTCTGCAGATTACTTTGAACATTTACAGTGATGAGAGAATCCAAAGTACAACGACAGGAATCGCGAGATCTACTTTGTCTCACCTTGGACCACTCTCTAGCCTTTTGTGTGGTAGTGGTGATGTTCTTTTCCATGCACCACAGCGCGCCCATGAAGGCGCCGATGCTGACACCGCCGACCATATCTATAGGTATACCTGCCTCGATGATGGCCTTCAGCATGCCAACGTGAGCAGCGCCTCTCGCACCGCCTCCACCTAGGACGAGACCGACCGAGGTGCCGGTCAGCCATCGCGCTAGTCTACTGAAATCGCTGTGTACGTTTGGCTCCGACATGAGCACCTTGGAGTACAACTCGTTCTGCGGTGCGACATATTTTAGATTACTCTTTCTCTCCCACTGATGTTTGCAAATTAATTTTTAAAATTTTAATATCATAAGTAAAATTAGATTTAGATTTAGATTTCCCGGTTAATCATTGCTTACAATTCTATACTGCGATCTCCTGGTGAACATCCGCTTCGGGCACTGGATGTGATGGTGGCTGGATACCCACAATCTCATGTTCAACCACTGAACGGTGTTCGTCGGTCGTTGATTCTGCTCCCTGTGCAATAGCACTAGTTCTTTCTGCGTTCGCATTACCAGCCGTTCTATCTCACGTTCTGTCCGGCCAATCGATGGCGGCCGATCGCCCAGACCCACGATAAGAATACAATCTGCCTGTCTCACGCATCGCTGAGTCCACAGCGTGTAACTTGAATCACATTGATACAGAGAGATTCTGTGCTGATCTTCCTGCTGTGCGAGCCAGGAAGTTAATCGGTACTCGTTTGCAGGCTCCATGATAGTCGTTCCTAAAGTCTATATTAAAAAAGAACAAAATTGACGATCAGTGCATTATTATCTTCGAGAAATCAATATTTTGTTTTTACTACAAACTGATTACATTTAAAAAATTACAAACGAATTAAAGAGAACCACGCTACACGTATAATATACAACCGGTGTTGAATTATATGATCAAGATAAATGTTGTTAGAATAATTAAGATTCGCGATAACGATACCTTTCTTACGACATCTGACGTTAGGCGAAGACAGGGTCCAATGGCACATAAAGAATGATACAATTCATAAGTAAAAGCAGTCAGTGGTACATCGTCCGACACCGGCACTATGGCAACAGTCGAGAAATTAATTTGCGCGGGTCTAGCGTCAACCGTTGCTGCAGCTCGTCTGTAAAGTGATTTTTTAATGAAAAAAAAAATCTACGTTTTAATAACGTGATAAACATAAAGCACTGATTTGTGTAAAGATCTGAGCATCAAATTTACTGAGTATCATTGCTGCCGTTTTTTGCATGCGGTTGCTGCCAACTGCCGAGTATGCGATGACCAAGAAGATTTATTAATCTCGTGACGACAATCGGATATCTGAGTTTGATCACATTGAATAAACCTTCCGGTAGCTTCGCCAGCTCAGAATCCCGAACCGCCATAACTGTCGTCGACCTGGGAGTCTGCGTGACCATCTCTACGATTCCTACCAGGTCACCTTTTCCGTATTCCGCTACCGGTTCCTTTTTGCCGTTTTTGTAAGTGATCACCGATCGCAATCGTCCACTTAACACAATGAACGTCGAATCCGACTCATCCCCTTGTCTGTAAACGGCTCGACCGCTTTCAAGAAACAACCAGTCGAGAGCGAAATCCACCTATCAAAGAAAGAAAAAAAAGTAATATAATTACGCGAATTTGACGAAAAAAGTATAAACTTATACAAAATATTATTAAAAATATCTATTATTAGACTGTAAAGGTGCAACTCTATCGAAGCTGGCATTTCTCTCCCTTGTAGTAATACATTTGTTGGAAATTCTTTTAATAACAACTTTTATTTCTTTTACAGACTCTCACCTGTCTTACGAAAGGACTTAATCTGCGAACGACGGTATTTGCCACGTGCAACACGACTGTAGGCTGATCCCGCATGATAGCGAAGAACGTCAATTTGCTGAGTAACGCGATACGGCTGGCATGCTTCGCTCTAATTGTGTAAAAGGATGGTTCGCCGGTTAGCACTGCCAAACCGCCGACAATTTCACCCTGATGAGCGCTGAACATGTGCACTTCTTGACCAGCGTCTCGGCCCTCCGATACGCGTTGGCTTACTATCAGCGAGCCCGAGAGCACGTACACGAGTGCGACATCCTACAACGCGATTAAATCTTGGTAATGCTTCTACATTTGTAAAAGAAATAATTCTTTCCCTTCATATGCGACGTACAGCATGCACTTGGCAAATGCAAAATGGCAAACCTTGTGAGACTCCTCCTTCATCAGATAAGTACCAACCGGCACTTCCCTGATCTGAACCTTGTCTTTGAGCACCGTCTCGTCCTCTATACCAAGTTCACGAACGAACGCGTCAGTGGCTATTTGCACGAGCTGCGCTTCATCCAGCTGTTGCTGCTGCTGCTGCTGCCCCGTCTCGCTGATCTGGCGTTTGATTTTACTGGAATAAGTACTTCCCGAATGAGAGGATTCCGGATGCGATCCGTGTGTGGATTGAGAAGTCGCCGCAGGGGGTGGTGTTGTCCAGTGAGAGTCGCATTCTGGTACCATCTCTGCCGAATTTTCATTACCCGCCTGCGAGAAAGAGCTCTGGTTCCTCCAGTCGACACTGTTCCTCGCCCTGCAAGGTAATCTCATAGAATCAGTCTGATTTACCTTAACTCGAAGGGGTATAATCAACGTCTTTAAACGTTTCTCACCGTCGGTTCGCGATGGGCACAGGTTGAGAGGCGCTTGTGCCAGATGTATCGCGCTGAGGAAGGTCGCTGGAATCGTGCACGTCCGACGTACCGGCTGGGAATACACCAGGTGCGGTCTCGGTGCTCTGCCAGGCGAAGCTCTCTCTCGTTCTCGATCGTACCGGCGAACCGGAGAACGGACTCTGTTTCTTCTTGTGCGACCCCTGATTGACCAATTCCGCGGAGAGGCCGAGATATTGATGGAGAGCGGTGAAGGTAACCCTCTGCAGCCTTACCATAATGACCTGGATAACTCGAACAAAGGCGTCAGGATAATCTTGAAATACCTGAAATAATATCAGCGCGAAACGTCTACGTGATCTCATGTAGCATAATGGAACGTTGAAGTGGAATACAAGGCAACTTACTTCTTGGAACGCGCTCATTGGTAACTTTACTACAACAGAATTCTCTACGGCTCTTGCCGATACAGTTTTGTATGTGCTCGTATGCCCGGTAAGTACGTCGGTAAAGCTAAGAAGACTGGTAACGGACTCGCCCGTCTTTACGACTTTCAACGAGATCTGAGCGCCGTCGGGTCCGGTGATGTACACGTTGACCAAACCCTGCTGGACTATAAACAAATTCTCGTCGGGGTCCCCGATCTTGAACAGCGTGTTGCCGGCGGGCAGGTTCATGATCTCCGTGTACTTGCACAATTTCAGGAACACGGGCTTCTCGAAGTGGCCGAAGACCCTGATGCTCTGCAGCATGTACAGAGCGTCCGGCGGCACTCGCTCGCCGGGCCCCAAGTCCTCCTCCAGGTATTCCGCCGGTGGTTCCAGCACCTAGAGATGAAACGGTTCGTTTAGGGACGTCGCGCAAGGTGAGCAATTGGCCGGTTAACCGTCGCGAAACCGTACTTTGAGCTGCTGCGGGACAGTGTCCTTCTTAAGCTGCAACAGTCGACGGGCGAATCTCATGACCGCCCGTCTTTTCTTCCCCTGTCCGGTGGCGTGCACCTGACCACCGATGGACTTGACCTTGCGCAGCATCTTCCTGCCGTAAAAGAGAACCTTGTCCCTCTTCCTGAACCTCGGCTTCCCCGTGCCCACCCCGACGAACTCCTTCACCTCCGGCAGGAACTCCTTGTTCTTCCATTTGCGCACCACGAAGATCGACGCGATCAGGAAAATGAGGAGCAGGACGATGGCCACGACGAAGATGGTCCTCGACGTTTGGTATTCCTCTATGAACCTGCCGATCCATCTTGAAAGTATGTACGATCCCAGGCTCTCGTTGAACTTATTAAATAATTCGATCACCTGCAAGAGACATATTCGATCGTTAATGCGCCTCAGGTACGCTGCGTTATTTAGGAAAGGATATAAAATATATCCTTTCCGCCGTAAGGATCCAGGTCTTCCTTAAGGCCTGGACTACAATGAGTTGGTAGTCGCTAGTCAGAAGTCGGAACCATATGTTGATCCTTTTCCTTTCCGGGTGGAAGAAAAAGGACCGATATATAGTTCTGATTTCAGACTAACAACCCATTGTAGACCGGGCCTAAAGGGGACCTAAAGGGGACCTAAAGGGAATCCCGATTACTGTCGTCGAAGGTACATTACTGGCTATTATGCGAATTACGCAAGTCCGTCCTCGAGAGGTAAGGAATGTTTCGTACGCGAGATAAATCCGAGACGACAGTTCTGATTAATGTCCCCGTTCATTCGCGAAATAACTAACGTCGCGATATGCCTCCGCTCTAAAGTTTACAGCCCGTTACGTAATGTACAACGCAACGGTAACTTCTCTCGGAAGAGGGAAATCTTGGTGAAACCTCGGGCACCGCGGACCAGCGACACTCGGACACCTCGTTAGGTTACACCTGCGGCGCCGCCGGTTGCGAAAAATCAGACCGCGATTGCACGCGAACGCGACTAGGCGTGACGTCTCGAAAATCGTGTCGACCAAAGTCTAATCAAAGTCGGCGAATGAGAATAATTTCCAGGCAACGATTAAGTATGCCCAACCTCCATAGTGGGTACTCATGTCTCCCTCTCCGCCGCAAGATCCGCCCGGGACAGGGTGTCACGACCAGGACAGCATACGTCGGCGAGCACGGGACGCGCTTGATCGGCCTAGTCGAGCCCGTCCGTACGAAAAATTTATTATTTATCGCGCGAGTAAACGACCTTTGACACTTGGCTCGAGTCATCCAGCGCCATTTTGTCAGCGCGGCTGCGGGATCGATGATTTAAAATAATTCATGTGCGACGGGGACGCACCTCGGCGAGAGCCGCCAAACGCGCTCGTCCTCGTCCTGCGAAGCTGCAGTCCTGTCGTTTCTTCACTTTTACGACCGCGGCTACGTTTTGAAAGTCACCTTATAAAGGTGGACCCACGCCCGTCTCTGCCAGTGCGGATTAACTTTTGACCTCGGTCCGGATTACTTATCTCTTTTCTAACTTGTAGAACTAGAAAATGGTGTCAAGTAAGTTGAGCCGAGATTAAAATTAAACTGCGTTGGTAGAAACGGACATTAGTCGGATTATTAATAGCTAGCAAATATTAACGTAAAGTGTCGTATGAACGATAATTAAATCGGGCTTTATAAGTCCTAGTCTACAACAGAGATTTAAACCCTAAGTCCCAGTCTACAATAGAGATTTAAGCCCTAAGCCTTAAGAAATTGACTAATCACAGTCGCGCATTCTACTCATACTTGACCGTGATTGGCCAATTTCTTAAAGCTTAGGGCTTAAATCATCTATTGTAGACTGGGACTTAGCCTTAAGAAATTGACTAATCACAGTCGCGTATTCTACTCATACTTGACCGTGATTGGCCAATTTCTTAAAGCTTAGGGCTTAAATCATCTATTGTAGACTGGGACTAAGTCCCTGGAACTGGGACTTAAGGCCTGCGTTCACGATGCTGGAACTTGGTTCCTAGTTCCTAGTTTTAAGAAATGCGCAGCCAATCAGCTTGCAGCTTTTATGGAATAGCTGCAAGCTGATTGGCCACGCATTTCTCGAAACTAGAACCTGGACCAAGTTCTAGCATCGTGGACACAGGCCTTAATGCCAATTGTTAAGCCAGCGGTGTGCGATACTGTTTTTCCTACTGGATTGCCTACGAGAGCCAATCAGGCTTTTAGCCTTGCATCCTTATTGTTTCTCGTAAACAATCCAGTAGGAAAATAGTATCGCGTGCCGTTGATTTAACTTTGTTGTACGTAATTCTGCCAGCTATTGTAATTATTACATGTTACTGAACTCGTTCAGTGACGACGAGTAGACGGCAGTAAATTATAAATGCGCGAACTACCGTTCACATACCACTACTGCTTTATTACACAATTTCATATTTAATTCTGCGTTTATTTCTTTAGTTAGAACTTCCGGCAGAGAGCTCGGCTCTGCCAGGAGATACGTAACTCCGGCGTCCGCGCGTTTCGACAATCGGCCCTGAACGAACGTCCAAGTCGAATCGGCAGATTCGCACGTCTCAAACAAATCGGGACACGCGCGAGCACGCACGAGGCGTGACTTATCGCGCGCGGGCAACGCGATTCGTCGCCAATAGTTGCTTTCCTTTTACATGAAAACTCAGATAAATCGCACTTGTGACGTCATAACTCAGTTGAATGCGTGTTCCTTTTGATTCTTGAGAAGTGACGTTCAACCAGATTTAACTGAGTTTTCGCACACGATCAAGACCGCGCGCTTTAGTGAGTTTAATAGACTCACATTAATGACGTTATATGAGTATAAAATACTCACATAACTGAGTGACTCAGTATCACTTGAGTGTAAAAGGAAAGCGGCCACTGACGCGCTCTTTGACCGGCGATTCGAATTCCGCGCGCGCCGCCGCGCGGCGCCCCGCGCGTGCGCCGCCCGGTACGAGCCGCCGCCCGGCAGGGCGCGCGACGGGCGCGGAATTCCAGGGCGGTTTTCGGCGGCGCGGCGCGGTCAGTTCCGACGGCGGCGGTAGCGACGGAGGTAGGCAGGCAAGGCGGGCGGGCAGTCGGTGGTTACGAGGGCGACATGTTGGACATGTTCGTGTGACCGTGTGCGCGCGTGGCGGGCCGATCTCTGACGCGCGTTTCGCCGTGCGTTTCCCGGGGGGACTCGGCTCTTTTCTTTTTCTCCCCCCCCCGCCCGCCCTCGGTCGTTCGTCGTCGTCGTCGTCGTCGCCGTCGTCGACGTCGTCGTCGCGGTGCGCGCAGTGAGTGCGATACAACAGTGTGTTCGCCGCGAGGTGTGCGCGAAGTGAGGCGAGGAGGAGGAGAAGCGCGCGCGCGCGCGCACGAGACACGCACGTCGCCGCTACATGTGAAGTGTCGCGAGGATAATTATTCGCCGTCGCGCCCGCTGGTTTACCCGGCCCAGCAAACATGAGCTGGGGCACGGAGCTCTGGGTGAGTCTCTTTCTCTATTTCTCGCTCTACCACCCTCTTTTTCTCTTTTACTCTCGCCTCGCTCGTACGTTCGTCCTTGTCGCTCCTCTCCCGCGCCGCTCCGCCGCCGCGGGCGCTCCCCGTTCACGTCTCCCGATCCGCTTCCACCTTGCGGGACGATTCCCCCTCGGGGGGGGAATCGGCGGCCGCGCCGAAAATGGGCCCGCCGTGTTCCACGCGCGCGCGACGTCCCGTCGACGGTCCGTCTCGCGTATTCGCACTCACGTCTCCCGTCCCGTCCCGTTCGTGCGCCCGTCCAGCTGCCATTCCCCCGTGTTTATGCGGCCGGGCACGTCTCGCGGCGGGGAAACGCGGACCGAGCGATGGTCGCCCTCGGCTCGCTCGCTCCCGGACGGCAACGTCCCGTAACGCCTCAGGTAGCCGTTCGTGTGCCGCGCGTCACGTTTCACGCGAGGCAGCCCCGCATACCTGCGACCCGATGGACCAGACCCGTTTTCACGCCGATGGCCGCCCGTCCCATTCATCCTCTCGCGAAATTCCCTCCTGCGCCCTCGTCGCCCGTAAACAACGCCGTCGTTGCGCGCGCGCGCGTTTTTTCCCTCCTCGCCGTTCTATTCAGCTGCAAGTGACGTATACGGACCTGCGGGACTCGGAGCTCGGGGAGACCGTCGCGTTCTCGCGAGCGCGAATACTCCGCCAGCCAGCGACGTGCCTCGGCGGCCGCGAGTTTCTTTCCTTCTTTTTCTTTTTCCCCCTCGAGGAAAATTACACGTCACCTCGCCGACGTTCTCGCGACGCGTCTGGGCTTGAGCGGAAAGATTGTCGTGACCGTTGGTTGCAAGACTCGAGTCGGTGTCCGAGAGTCGACAGAGTCGCGGACGTGTAGACCGAGTCAGACTAGCAATCGTTGACTCGGATTGAATTGGAATTGGCGATTGGCGATTAGTCCTTTAGCCAATGAGAGCACAGCGGCGCTCTGATCGGCTCTCATTGGCTAGAAGGCAATTGTTAATCGCCAATCCCAGTCCAACTCGAGTTAGCGATTGCTAGTCCGATTCGGGCTTGCGTCGCATCCGTTGCACCGCGAGGCGACGCACTCCAATTCTTTGCATAAAGACATTTGTCCGCAAGCAAATGCATAAGGAAAAGGCGCGTGCTCCCCCGCTTTACGTCTTACGACGTAAATCGTAAACAGTTGCGACGATCTTTCTGCCCAGGCCCTCTCTCGGCGAGCCCGGGCTGCTATGAGCCGTTTCGAGCCCAGATTCTTATCTCTCTTTCGATAATCGCTTACCCCGCCTCTTGTCTATCCTGCGTCCCTGCACATGTCGCGGCGGTTTCGGACACGCGCCCGCTCGATAAGATATTCAGGACTGCCAGTACTCTCCCTCATCCTCTCGTTTGTCCCTGAGGATGCGTCAGTTCTTATCTCGTCTACGAAATGAATGCAGCTCCTCAAGTATCTCCGGCGGAGTAACGTGATTCATCCGCAGCTGATCCTCGCGCGAAGCCTCCGTTCGGCTTCTTCTCCGTCACGTCGAATTAAACCCGCGTCGGGCTACCAGATTTTTCCCCTTATCTCGATCGTCAATCGCCCTCCTATATCGGCCTGTCGTCGGTCGCCAAGACGCGGGAGTCGCCTTGACAGCCTCCCGGCCGCGGTATTATCTCATCCGTTAAGCATTCGTGTTTGTTAAACGGGCGATTTCTTATCTTTAGGCGTTCACGTGACCGCCGCGCGATCATCCCGGGAAGCTGGAGTCGCGGAAATCTCTCGCGCGCCTCGGTTTCGCTCGGTTAACAGGTTCGTTAATGCGGCTAGTCATCACGTCTAATGACGCGCCAGTTTAGATGGACAGATATTGGTATTTTTCAATAATTTAGAGAGGATCCTACATTCGATAATACACATTTCGTGAATTTTTATATATTGTAATATTTTCTCCCGCCACGCGTCGATTTTTTAACGCGATTTTACGCCGGAGCCGGAAGTGTCGCGTTATTAAATTCATAATCAATGTACACTGTGCTACAAAACATCGACGTGAAATAGAAATTTGTAGAAATTTTTATATCCTCGTTCGAGGGGGAAACCGCTGACCAAAATCTTGCACACCAATGCCCACTAATGCCCAGCGGGCATTACTTTATCTTATGACCTTATTTTATCTTATTTATCCTGTTTTATCTGATTTTATCTTTATAATGCGCCAACTAATGCCCAAAAATTGCCCAGTAATGCCCAGTAATGCCGCAAATCTACAGATTGCGGGAAGACCCATATTTCTCGACTTGCCACCTTTCTCGCGCGACTGATAATTTAAACTGATAATTTAATCGTACCGACGAGCTTATTGAAGTGTACTAGTTTCCACCCTCTGTGTGTCACTTATCCATCGGTTTATCCGGCGGCTGCCCGCCGGTCGAGATCTTCATCTCGCCTCGCGCGACCCCGCAACTTCACGACTTCACAATGTCGAGTTTTTTTTCCCCCCTCTCGATAAATGCCGCCCTTCCGCACCGAGCTACTCATTAATCGCATCATCTACGTATCTGTCCGTCTATCGAGCCTTCCGATTCGTCGTAGGCGAGCTCATTGTGATCGGACGGCCGTACAATCGAGCGCTTCTTTTTGTCTTCTTTGCGGAGAATGAGTGATTTTTTTTTCGGTGCGCAACTTCCTCGGTTAACAGTTAGCATCCTCTCGTCCATCTTCCGCGTCTCTCGCGAGCGAGCTGCTCTGTCTGTTCGAGCCTGTTCGCTTCGTCTTGCCTTATCAGTGAATAATTCCCTCGTGTACGTGCTTCCATTCTCTCTGCAGCTCGGGTCGTGGGATAAAGTATATCAGTGCCTCGGTGATGGACAATGCTAAGTCGTGTTCTTTTTAAAACGAGATTTTTACGTCTTACGAATCGATTCGTCAAGTTCCATTAGTGGTAAACGGTGTCGTATCTGTGGCTCCACACGCAGATCCGCCACTATAAAATAGTGTGGTGTATCCCGCGAAGGCCCGTTTCTTTTTTCCTACGCTCCAAATTCAAGTGTGTAATTTTTACACACTTAGGTGCGTAAACTCGTAAAAATAACACGCGTGTAAACCCGTAGAAAAGACCTTGCGATTCGCACGCTCGCGCGTGTAAAAATTACACACTTGGATTATGCAGTGTGATAATAACTTCAATGCGGAGTAGTCATCTATTCTCTTCCGACACTCACAGAAAAGATTTCCGGATCCAAATGCTATTACACTTGAATGTATCATAAAATAGGATCGATATAGCGCCAGTCATATTTGTTATAGACTAGAATAAAATGATAGTATGCATCGTCGAATATCGAGGTGCCAACTTCGTGCGTCGTAAGATGGAGGAAAAATTTATTGTGAATGCAAGAATCTACAGGGTGTCACATTTTTTATGATCCACGCAAATATCTCCGAAAATATGGAAGATACGGAAGAACGTTTCAAACAAAAGTTGTTTGGTTCGAAGGGGGACATAAGGTGGTGCCATTGACTTGACCTTGGATAGTCATTTGAAGGTCACGTGAAGGTCACCTTCAATTTTTTTTAAATGGAACCCCCTATTATTTATTATACTATCTTATTCTACTAATTAATATGAACAACTTTTGTCCGAAACATTTTTTTATTTGCCTAATACTTGATGAGATATTGAAGAGAAAACTTAGAACTTTTTCAATGTTCAGCTTATGATATCTCGACAGCTGTTTGTCGGAGGGAAAAGTAGTACGGGATTTTTTTTACTTGATTTGGTTTCAGGAACATGCTGTTGCAATAGTGTTCCAATTATTGAGAATTAAAAAAACCCCTTTCTGAGGGTTTCTGTTACTGAAGGAACTCCAGCAAGGATATGTATCTGTAAATGTTTTTCAACGGAAAAGCTAACTCGGAGTAAAAGTCGAGGAGATTTAGCGGAGTTTTCCGTCAAAATTGACGGAGAGAAAGAACTTAGGTTCACTGTGCTTCGACGCAGTCTACCACAGTCCGAGGCGCTGACGTACAAATACCTTACCCTACGACCTTGGCCAGGGGGATTAAGATTAAGGAATGCGCAAGAAAACATTCTTTTCTTCACGCGCACTGCCTGGACCTCTCTTTTCTGTCATTCACAGTTAATAACGTACATGCCGACGTTTCTTTCTTTCTTTTCTTACGCCGCGAGACCTGAAAAAGATCCTCTGGTATCCGAGAGTTAAAGAAACTCGTTGCGGATCTCGTTCGTGACCGTACAATCGAGATTTTCCGCTGACGAAATCTCCTTAACGAGATACGTCTTTTTCGGGGAAGAGTATTTTTTTCTCCTCTTCTCCCCCGCGCCCCCCCCCCCTCCCTCCCCGAGTTACCTGCCGTTGTCGCCGTTTCTCCGTCGTTGTTTTCGCCGGCGACGATGACGACGACGACGACCTGTAACCGCGATATCCCCGAAAACCAGTTCGCGCTCGCCGGGAGTTTTGCCTTTTCGGTTGCTAGCCGCGGGCAACGTTCCCCGTGTCCCCCCGCGGTTTCCCCTGTCCTCCTCCTTCCGCCCCTACCCCCGCGGTGTTCCTTCTGCGCGCACCTTTCCTGCCCCCCTCGCCAACGTCGCGCTCCTCCTCCTCCTCCTCCTCCTCCTCCTCCTCCTCCTCCTCCTCCTCCTCCCGGGCCGTGAAGGAGCGTACGTTCTTTTGCTTCCTTTCCCGTGAAATCCTCGACGGTCACGACGGCGACAACGTCGGTTTTGCGGCCGACTCGCGAGAGAAGAAGAGAGATGGAGAGACGGAGATACATTCTGTATTTCAAATAGTCTGCGCTGCGGACGTAGAATATGGATATGCACCGCAATAAAAAGTTTCGAGCGGTTCACTCCTTTTTTTTTAAGATTACCGTCGCGACGGATGTAAAACTAAACGCGTGTGAAAAAATACGTTGTAGAGAAACGGGACGCGATTGACTTGAAATCGCGAGAAGAAGAAACCGAGAGATCCGCGACGCTTCTCGC